CCACCCCTGGCACTCTGGGGCTCTGCTGGGGACAGGAGCCACCCCTGGCACTCTGGGACTGTTCTGGGGACAGGAGCCACCCCTGGCACTCTGGGACCCTGCCAGGGACAGGAGCCACCCCTGGCACTCTGGGACCGTTCTGGGGACAGAAGCCACCCCTGGCACTCTGGGACCCTGCCAGGAGCCACCCAGGAGCAGGAGCCACCCCTGGCACTCTGGGGCTCTGCTGGGAGCCACCCCTGACACTCTGGGACCAGGCTCCCGCACCAGCCCTGCCAGGGGGAAGACAGGGAGTGGGCACCAAAGGCCTGGCACTTGTCCTCTGCAGCTTCCAGAGAGCTGGAATGAGGAGGAGCACGGGCAGAGCACCCTCTCTTGTTCTACCCTGTGCTACCCGAGATTCTGACCCCTTCTGCAGCCCCACCAGCTACTGGGATCAGAATATTTCACCCATTCCCCTTCTCCACATGTGTTCTGGCAGCTCTGGAGCTGTGATCTGAGCTGATGGCAGCACCTGGGTGGTTTCAGAGCAGCTCAGGATCCTTGCTCTGCCAGCCTCGCTTATCACACAGCACTGATAACTCATTAACTATTCAGAAATGCCCTAGGAACTGCATTTGTTTGTAGGTCACTGTGAGGATGGGAAAACACCCCAGTGACCCTTGGAATCTTTGTTCTGCTCTCAGTTTTGCAGCCCTGTGTGACCGTGTTCACCGGGGTCTGAGGATGAGGGAAGAGACGAGGATCTGACTCCATGGTTCAGAAGGCTGATTTATTATTTTATGATAGATATTATATTGAAACTATACTAAAAGAATAGAAAAAAAGGATTTCTTCAGAAGGCTGGCTAAGAATAGAAAAAGAAGGAATGATAGCAAAGGCTTTTGGCTCGGCTCTCTGTCCGAGCCAGCTGGGCTGTGATTGGCCATGAATTAGAAACAACCACATGAGCCCAATCCCAGATGCACCTGTTGCATTCCACAGCAGCAGATAACCATTGTTTGCATTTTGTTCCTGAGGCCTCTCAGCTTCTCAGGAGGAACAATCCTAAGGAAAGGGTTTTTCATAAAAGATGTCAGTGCCAGCCCTGAGCTGTCCCAGTTCATCTCCTCCCGAGGAATCCTGAGCACCCACCCTGAGCTGCAGTGCCAGCCCTGGGGCTGGAGCATTAATCCTCAGCAAAGCAAACCCAGGGACACACACAGCGAGCTCCCAGGCCTGCTGGACACCAAGGGTAGCCCCTGGTGCTGTCCTGTCACTTGTCACTGCTGTTACAAGTCACCAGCACGCGAGATTTCTGCTGGCAGCTCACCACAGGCAGCAGTGGGATTGCTGCAGGGAGAAGTCAGGCTTCCCTCACAGAGCAGGGGCTCTGGGGCTGGCATTGAGAGGGAAGGGCTGTCCCTGCCAGTCACCCACCCCCTGGCCAGCCTGCACCCATTCACCATCGTTGGCCAACCAGCCTCATTCACCTGCTTCACAATCCCCCTGCTTCTATTCCCCCTTGCAGCCACCCTAGAGAATAAACTGCTCAAACTCTAATTAACTCCAATAGTTTATAAAAACATTGGTCTTGTAAGCCAAAGATTGAAGACTAAACCCCTTCTTAGAGTTACCCCACCATCCTATCTCAGGAAGAAAGCATTCAAACCCTCATCTCCAGCTCCCAAAGCTGGCATTTTTCACATTCATCACATGCCAGGGGTGAGCCACCTCCACAACCAAAATCCTTCTCCAAACTCCAAATCTGGGCACAGGCAACTAAGAGGGATGAGACAGGCAGGGAAGCTGGAAGTTCAGCTGCCAGAGAGCATGGACAGGGCTCCTGTCCCAGCCCTGGGCACTCAGTTCCTGACATCCATCGCTTCTCCAGGCTCAGCAGGGCAACACTTCCACCTCAGCTCCCAGAAATTCCCTCTGCCAGCCCAGCCTGGAGCTCCCAGGCCCCAGCTGCATCCCAGGAGCTCATACCTGGGCTCAGGTGGCCCCTCCAGGGCTGTCCTCGTCCCATCCCATTCCTGCAGGGCATTCATTTGTTGGAAGGTGCTGTTAACAAAGAAATACACTCACAGCAAAGCCAGAAACATTGACTCCATTACAGCCTCTGCTGTGTCTTGGCTCCACTTTTCCCCTCCTGGACTTCATTTGGCACCTTGCATATTAGGAGGGCAAATTAGAATTTCATGCATATTTCATATATACTTAATCACTTGGCAAAGACCAAAACACTTCTCCATTAAGTGGAATTTATGCTAAATGCTGTTTCCATTAGGCAAATGGAGGAGGTTACACCAGTTCCCCAGGCAGCTGTCCCCTGCCAGGGGAGGTGGGGACGCTGTGACAGTGCCACAGCAGCAGGGCAGGGTCCCCAACAGCAGCCTCATCCCAAAGTTACTCCCCAAAGCCCATCCTGGTTGATGGGACATCAGCTGCTGGCTCTGGGGTCCTGTTTGGTGCTCCCCTGAGCCACCTAGGTCCCCTCAGAGCTCTGAAGGGCTGCAAGGCAGCAAAAAACAAAAGTGTGACGCTCATAAACCCAACCAATGCCGTACAACCCCTTCCTGGGAGACTTACAGCATCCTTGGGTTGCTTTCTCCTGCTTTACACCCTCTAGTAAGAGCTGCTCCAACCCTTCCTGCTGAGCTCTTCTCCCTCCTGCCACGGAGCCAAACCTCACCTGCCCCCAGTTTGCCTTTATATAGGGGCTCTGCCAAGCTCAAACTGCTGGAGCTCCTCAAGGGCTAACAAGGCTCAGCTGGGCCCCCTGAACCCAAACACGTTGCCCCTGCCTCATTTCTGGGTTTCCCTTCCCTTCTTAAGTCTCCCAGAAAGGGATCTTGGCTTGTCTGCTTTATCTTGCAAGAATAAAAAAGATGCAGAGGAGGTTTGCTGCTGAGGTCAAATCAAGGTGCAGGTAAGAGTCTCCTCTGGTTTTCCTGCTTTTGAAACTCCAAGTGTTGGATTTCTTGTGGGAAAAAAACCCCAGAGAAGTACTGTTAAAGTTCATACTGAGGTAGTAACAAACCCCTCTTGGCTGAGAGGCTCTAAAGGGCCAAGTTTGTGTTCTAACAGTGCCCAGCTCTAGCCTGGCCACCAAAAAAGCTGTACCCAAAATAACCAACAGAGCTGTGGGAGATTTAAACGGGGTTATTCTGCTTCCAGAGCAGGGGAGGGGGACAGGGAGGGCAGAGCTCAGTTCCACACCCCAGGCTGTCTCAGTGAGCAGCAGCAATTCCTCCTCCTCCTCCTCTGGCCTGTTTCCCTGCATCCTCAAACAGCGTCTCTTCCTTTTAATTTTTATTTTGTTTTCTTTTCTGGCGGGCACGCAGGGCTCTGGCTGCCTGTAGCTGCTGCTGCTGCTGATGGCTGACCTAAATCTGAGCCGTGCTTGGAGCCGGGAGCTCCGGCGGGGTTTGCCCGGTGGAGGGGGGGAAGCCCTGCTGGGGAATGCTCCGGCCAGGGGGATGATTGGGCCCCAGGGGGATGCTCGGGAACCGGGGAATGATCGGGCCCTGGGGGATGCTCCGGGCCAGGGGGATGCTCCAACCCCCGGGATGTTCAGGCCCCCAGGGGATGCTCTTGTCCTGGGGGATGCTCGGGTACCAGGGGGATGTTCCAGCTCTGGGGATGCTCCAACCCCCAGCATGTTCGGGCCCCTGGGGATGCTCCAGCCCCAGAGCTGCTTCAGCCAGGGGTATTCTCCAGCCCCCAGGGGTATTCTCCAGCCCCCAGGGGCTGCTCCCTGCCAGGCTTGGGGTCGTTTCACTTTCCTCTCCTGTGAGCCTATTGCATAAGAGGGATTTGAGGGTTTCTACTTGGCTCTCCACCCCCCTCCTCCCTGCCCGTTTTCTTCCAGAATAAAGTCCTTGTTTTTCCAAGTGTTTGGCTTGCTGGAGGTTAAAGCAGCCCCTTCTGCAGGCAGTGCTGCTCGCTGATCCCGGGCTCAGTGAGAGCTGCAGGCTATCAAGCCTAAGAAGGGCTTATCCCTGTATTTTTACAGCTTCCCAAGGCCCCAGCTCCGGGGTTAGAGCCCTGGGCTGAGCTGTGGCGTGCGAGGGCTCAGGCACGCACTGCCCTGCTGCATCCATGGCCGGCCTGAGCTGCTCTCCCGGCTCTCCTGGCTGTCCCTGCTGGCTGCTGACAGCCACAGAGGGTTTGTCCTGCACTGTCAGCTCCCCCTGTGCTGCTGCTGCGAGAGCTTCCCCATAGAAACCAGCGCTGGGCTGGCAGATACAGCTCACACGGGAATAACAGGATTGTGCACGGCCCCGTGTGTGCTGGAAACCAGCAGGGAAACATGGAATATCCTGGGCTGCAAGGGAGCCAGCCCTTGGCCCTGCACAGAAACCCAAACAATCCCACCCTGAGCATCCCTGGGAGCAGTGTCCAAACACTCCTGGGGCTGACACCCCAACAATCCCACCCTGAGCATCCCTGGGAGCAATATCCAAACACTCCTGGAGCTCTTGGGGCTGTGCCCTGCACAGACACCCCAGCAATCCCACCCTGAGCATCCCTGGGAGCAGTGTCCAAACGCTCCTGGAGCTCCTGAGGCTGTGCCCATTCTCTGGGGAGTCCCCAGCACCCTCTGGGGGAAGAACCTTCCCTGATATCCAGCTAAACCTGCCCTGAAGCAGCTCAAGGCAGTCCCTTGAGTGCTGCCACTGGTCACCAGAGAGAAGGGATGAGTGCCTGGCCCTCTGCTTCCCTGTGGCCTCATCAGCCTGGATTTGAAAACACTTCCCAGTCCTTGGTTTGAGTTTTCATTCTCATCATCCCCTGAATCCTGTTTGTCTGAGGAAGAATAAAGGGAAAATTTACCCTTTTAGGCACATTCTGCCAACATGTTCAGGAGGAATGCTGCGGTGAATGAGTTTTCCCAAAGTCTGGTATTTCCAAGGAAGGGTGGCATGGGAGGATGTTTGCTGTCCCTGTGGGTGAGGCTGTGCCTCAGGGTGTCCTTTTCCTTGGCATTGCAGGTCAGCCTCAATGATTCCCACAATCAGATGGTCGTTCACTGGGCAGGAGAGAAGAGCAACGTGATTGTGGCCTTGGCCAGGGACAGCCTGTCCTTGCTGGGCCCCAAAAACAGCGATGTAAGTAACACACCCTGGCCCTCTCCAGGTGCACCAAGGTGGTGGTGGCTGCTGAGCTACAGCCTGGCTTGCTCTTGTGTCCTGGGACACAAAAAAAGCCCACAAGTTTGGGTTCAGAGGCACAAAAATATTAAATATCCTCCGTGCTGCCCTGTGGGTTCAAGGCATGGTTGGGAAAATCTCAAATCTTTCCCTGCCTCGGAGCTCACTGAGTTTTCACCAAATCTGTCAGAAGGGAGCTCAGAACTTTGTGCTTCACATTGTGGGGCTTCTCCTTTGCAGGTTTACGTGTCCTATGACTATGGGAAGAGTTTTAAGAAGATTTCGGAGAGGTTCAGCTTCGATGGGGGGAACAGCAGTGAGGTGGCCATCGCCCAGTTCTACCACAGCCCTGCTGACAACAAGAGGGTGAGGGGGATGTCCCTGCTGTCACAGGGACAAAGGTTGTTGGGGTATCTTCATGCTTTGGCCATTCAGGTTGACTGGACACACCTTAGGGTGTCCCTGGGGCAGAGGTGGTGTGTGCCAGGCACTTCTTGTGCCTTGGTGATGGTCAGAGTGTGGTGGGAGAGTGGGAAATTCTTCTCCTCCAAAGTTTGCCCTCCCAAAGGCTCCCCAGGGACGTGCACCTTCATTGCTGCCAGCCTGAGCTCTGCTCTGACCTTCTGCCCTGTCTGTCCCTCCACCCCCAGTATATCTTCGTGGATGCCTTTGCCCCGTACCTCTGGATCACCACCGACTTCTGCAACACCATCCAAGGCTTCTCCATCCCCTTCAGAGCAGCAGACCTCCTCCTGCACAGCAGGAACCCCAACCTCCTCTTGGGCTTCGACAGGTCTCACCCTAAAAAACAGGTGAGCGCTTTGCTCAGGTGGGGAACCAGCATCCTACCCTGCCCTGCTGGGATGTTCCTGTGGCCTCTCACAGCTGAGAGCCACCGTGCCTCGTGCAGGGCCGTGTGGCTTCATGCTCTGGCCATTCAGGGTGTCTGATCTCACATGCAGAGCTGTCCAAACCTGCCAGGCCACTCCCTTCCCTACAGTCTGTCCTGTTCTCGCCTCTGGAGAATGAGGACACAATAGGTGACAGTGTCCATAGGGGTCTGAGGATGAGGGAAGAGACGAGGATCTGACTCCATGTTTCAGAAGGCTGATTTATTATTTTATGATGTTTATTATATTAAACTATACTAAAAGAATAGAAGAAAGGATTTCATCAGAAGGCCAGCTAAGAATAGAATAAGAAAGAATGATAACAAAGGTTTGAGGCTCCAACTCTGTCTGAGCCAGCTGGGCTGTGATTGGCCATTGATTAGAAACAACCACATGAGCCCAATCCCAGATGCACCTGTTGCATTCCACAGCAGCAGGTAACCATTGTTTGCATTTTGTTCCTGAGGCCTCTCGGCTTCTCAGGAGGAACAATCCTAAGGAAAGGATTTTTCATAAAATGTGTCTGTGACACTCTGGCCATTCAGGAGTCTGATCTCACATGCAGACCTGTCCAAATCTGCCAGGTCACTCCTTCCCTGCAGTCTGTCCTGTTCTCACCTCTGGAGAATGAGGACACAATACCTGCAGGCTGCCTGTCTTATTTCCCTTCCTTTCTCCTCCATCCACGCTACTCCCAACCACATCCATCACCCCAACCACTGTGGTCATAACTCACCACAGAGCACTGGCAGCTGAGGCAGGGTGACCTCTGCAGTGTTTCATGTGGGCCTGTGGTTTGCCTTTGGGTCCTGAATAACAAATTGCTGCTGGAATACAAACACTTTTTTTTTTCCCCCTCTGGAGTTGTTGGGTAAAGATTGAAAATAATTACAGCACCTTCAGATCAACACAGTGAATAAAACCTGGAGGTGAAATACTGGGAAATCCTTCTGGTAGAAGGCTAAAGGATGCTATTTTTGCTGTTTGGGTTATCTATTATTAACAGGAAGTTTGCTGTTGCTCCAGGAGCTGCCACATGAAAATGAGCTACTCCATGAAAAGTCCTGGGTGTAGCCAAGGGTGGACACACTGGGTCTCTTGAAGGATTGGGTCTGTTTGTGTCCCAGTCCTACTGGCATCTCTCCCCTTTGTTGTTGCAGCTCTGGAAATCAGATGACTTTGGCCAGACCTGGATAATGATTCAGGAGCACGTGAAGTCCTTTTCTTGGTATGTACTGCACCCAGCTCCTGTCGTTCAAGAGAAGAAGACACTTCTCCTGCACTGTGAAAATCAGAAATCTGGGTACCAGGGTGTGCCCCAGCCCTGCTCCCCTCACCCTGCACTGTGGGCTCGTGCCAGGGCAGGGTGACAAGTGACAGCCTGGCACCCAAGGGTGTGACCGTGTTCACAGGGGTCTCAGGTTGAGGGAAGAGACGAGGATCTGACTCCATGTTTCAGAAGGCTTGATTTATTATTTTATGATATATATTACATTAAAACTATACTAAAAGAATAGAAGAAAGGATTTCCTCAGAAGGCTGGCTAAGAATACAAAAAGAAAGAATGATAATAAAGGCTTATGGCTCAGACTCTGTCCGAGCCAGCTGGACTGTGATTGGCCATTAATTAGAAACAACCACATGAGCCCAATCCCAGATGCACCTGTTGCATTCCACAGCAGCAGATAACCATTGTTTGCATTTTGTTCCTGATGCCTCTCAGCTTCTCAGGAGGAAAAAAATCCTAAGGAAAGGATTTCTCATAAAAGATGTCTGTGACACAAGGGTGCTTCCCATTCCCCCTGCCCCATCTCCTTGCTCCAGGGGTGCTTCCCATTCCCCCTGCCCCATCTCCTTGCTCCAGGGGTGTTTCCCATTCCCCCTGCCCCATTTCCTTGCTCTGGGGGTGTTTCCCATTCCCCCTGCCCCATCTCCTTGCTCCGGGGGTGTTTCCCATTCCCCCTGCCCCATTTCCTTGCTCCTGGGGTGTTTCCCATTCCCCCTGCCCCATCTCCTTGCTCCTGCTGCCCTGTTCTCCCATGGCTCCGTGTCCCCTGTGCCCGCAGGGGGGTTGAGCCCTACGACAAGCCCAGCACGGTGTACATCGAGCGCCACGAGCCCTCGGGGGCCTCGACCGTCATCCGCAGCACAGACTTCTTCCAGAGCCGGGAGAACAAGGACATCATCCTGGAGGATGTGCAAGATTTCCAGCTCAGGGACAAATACATGTTTGCAACCAAGTCTGTGGTGAGTGACATGCGAGGAGTTCGCTGCCGAGGGTGGATGTGGTGCAGAACCACAGCGGGCAGGAGCATCTGCCAGGGCTGGTGCTGCTCTCTGCTGCACCTCACGGCCTCCAGAGCTGGCTGGCTTGTCACAGAGGTGTCACCCAGCCCGCCAGCAGCTGCCACCCCCTGTGGGCTCACAGCAGCGGCTGCCCGTGCTGCTCTCCCCGTGGTGTTTCCGTGCCCCTGCCTCGGGCAGGCTGGGCAGAAGTAGGTCAGCCTGCAGAGGGCTGGGAGCAGGGAAAAACCAGAGGATGGCTGGGAAGGACATCGGGGTGGGGGTGGCAGGGGAAGGGGGATGTGGCTCGGTGGTTAAAGGAGGCCGCTTGTCAGAGGAGATTACCATCAAACGTGGACCAGCTCCAAGCAGCCTAATGTGCTCCAGCCTGGAAAGAAAGCTGCATTTTCAGTCTGCTTGCCTAAGAAAAGAGGATGTGGGTGAGCAAAAGTGATCTTTTGGTCCCTCTGCAGCCACAGCCTCTCTGTGCTTTTTACAGTTCTTGGCCGAATTCGAACAAACCTGAAAGAAATCAAGGAAGTGTCAGTGCTTCCTCTGAGGGCCAGGCCTTTCTAGATCAGAAACAGCATCAGAGGGATAAAGTCCTGATCCTTCTAGAATGCAAGGAGCAGCTTTCTTTTCAGAAGATGCATTTCTCCCCTGCAGCTACCATCGAGCGTTTTAAGAAGGAACTCTTTATTTAGGGGTGGCTGCTGGCAGAACCAGGGAGGGTTTCCTAGGCAGTAGGTGACAGCTGTGTCACCTCCGGCCCCCTGAGCGGGCACTGCGGTGTCTGACAGAGGCAGGGAACATTTGCAGAGCAAGTTCAGTTTCTCAGAAATCTCCCTTGCAGGTAGTACAGCCTGTAACTCCCAGGGCCCATCCCCTTGGCGCTGTGCCTGCTCTGTGGTTTGCAGGAGATTTTATCGAGGGCTCGGTGCTGGTGTAGGGTGAAACACTGGGGGTGGTTTGTGTCTCTGCAGGGAAGCCACTGAGCTCAGGGACAGCATTCTGAAAGCATGAGGAGAGTTTGGGCACCATTTAGGGGTGCTTTGGAGCTTTTCCTGCTTCTGGAGCACTCAGGGCCCAGCGGGCAGCACTCCCTGCTTCCTCCTGCAGCCGTAATGACTAAACACCAATAAAATCACCCATATTCCACCCCACAGCCAGCACTGCTGGGAAACACCGAGACAGAGGGAGGCTGGCTGCAAACCCCTCATTTGGGAGTCACATCCCCAGTCTGGAATGAGGCACTTTCCTCCAAGCCTGGCTGCGGTGCTGGGGGAAGGACGGGCTGGGTGGCAGCGGCGCCCAGGGCTCTGACTTCTGCTCCTTTCCGTGGGAGGCACGGTTGCTTAGTGATACAGAGGATGGGGAAAAAAAAAAAAAAAGAGGAAAAAAAAACAAACCAAAAACCAGGCCGCTTATTTTTGGAGCCTAGATCTGGGTTTAGGTCCTCGCCATTGGCATCCTGTATGAAATAGGGTTGCCCCCAGCTTTTTTACTTTCTCGGCTTCACACTGGTGCCTTTCGTTTTGCGCAAATCGGTAAAAATAGGAAGGAGAGGTCAGTGTGCTCTGAGGAGAAAGGAGGACTCAAACCCAGCCTCCTTACCCCCACCTGCCTGACCAGGAAGGACAGTTTGTCTCCTTGCTGAGCCCTGGCTGTGGCAATTTAAACGCTGGGTGGGGATCACTGCTCCCAGCATCGCGCTGCTGCCACGCTTTGCCCACGTGCAGGGAGGGGGAAGGCACTGGGGGATCCCAGTGGAGGTGAGGGTGGTTTTCAGGGGTGAGAGCCCCTCCTAACGTGTCCCTGTGCTCTGCACAGCGTTTGCTCGGCAGCTCACAGCCCCCCTCGGTCCAGCTCTGGGTCTCCTTCAACCGCAAGCCCATGCGGGTGGCACAGTTCGTTACCAAGCATCCAATTAAGGTAAGTGGTGCTTCCTGAGCAGCTTCCCAGCTCCCTGCCTTGCCAAGGACACCCTGCGGTGCCAGCAGCAGCTCCAGATGCTGCAGGAGAGGGAAAGGACCTCATATGACCCTGCTGGAGGGGTGGCAGAGCAAAGGCTCACATTTGGATGATCTTACGTGATGGCACCTGGACAGTGACTGGGGATGGGGCTGGCAGCAAAGCTCAGATACCAGAGAGGGGCTGATCCTACCCCTCTGACTCTGCTTTTGGGGACTTTGCCTCTTCCCATGTCATGGGGTGCACTGGCATGGCCTGGAGCACCCGATTCTTGCAGGCTGAGGAAGCCCAGGGCACCGCCAGGGCTTGCAAAGAGTCTCTGATGCATGAACCAAACATGCCGTGGTGTCCCCAGGCTGGTGGGGATGAAGGAGGGCACGAGAAGCAAATTTTGGTGCTTGGCAGAGGAGTGGGGTGCACTCCCAGCCTCAGGGGGGCCCAGAGACCCAGCACACATGGGGCTTGGTGACCAATGCTGCTCCAGGGGGCTTTGCAGGGCAGAGGGTGGGAATCACTGTGGGGGGAACACTACAGAAAAAGCAAAGTGGAGATTTTCCACCTGCTGAGTGGAAAAAAATACAAAAAGGTGGAGGCAAGATAAGAGGAAATCCAAACCAGCCTGTGTGCACGCACACACGGAGTCTGTTCCTTGTGTCCCAAAGGAATATTACATTGCTGATGCCTCAGAGGACCAGGTGTTTGTGTGTGTCAGCCACGACAACAACCGCACCAACCTCTACATCTCGGAGGCTGAGGGCCTGAAGTTCTCCCTGTCTCTAGAAAATGTGCTCTACTACAGCCCAGGGGGGGCTGGCAGCGACACCTTGGTCAGGTAAGACAGGACTTACCATAGCAATGGTCCCCTGAACGGGGAATAATTAGCATTGGCTCCATGATTGCAGAAGGCTGCAATCTATTATACTATATTATACTATAATTTTACTATAATTTTATTTTACTATAATTTTACTATAATTTTATTTTGTTATACTATATTATACTATGTTCTACTATTTTATACTATACTATAGACTATAGTATAATATTCTATTATACTATATTATATTATTCTATTATACTATATAATACTCTACTATACTTCTTAAGAAGCTCATCACCCTTACAGTCCAATACAGTTTTACTTAATTTACTCAATCCATCCAAACACCATCCAGTGTCCAATTAGGAAACCGCCGTTTGGTGAACAAATCTCCATAATGTATTCCACATGCGGACAACAACAGGTGCAGCAAGTGGAGATAAGAATTGTTTCTCATTCTTTTCTCTGAGCTTTCTCAGAGCTTCCCAGGAAAGTCCTGGGAGAGAGCTGTCTCTCTCTGTTCAGAGGATTTGTGATTTTCCACAAGGACTCACCCCATGGCAAATGAGAACATCGTTGACCAAAATCCGCGATTTTTGGCTCTGCCACATCAGCACCTTACCTTTGCCTGCCAATACTCCACATCCCCAGACTTATGGGGAGGGCTTCAATTTCCATTCCCCCCACCCCACAGGTACTTTGCCAACGAGCCCTTCGCAGATTTCCACCGCGTGGAAGGCGTGCGGGGCGTCTACATCGCCACGCTGATCAACGGCTCCTTCAGCGAGGAGAACATGCGCTCCGTCATCACCTTCGACAAGGGCGGCACCTGGGAGCTGCTCCAGCCCCCCACACAGACCCATTACGGGGAGCACATTGACTGCCAGGTACCACAGGGCTCTGGGATGGGGAGAAGACCCCCAAAAGTGGCATTTGGGGGTGTGGTTTATTAGTGATGGGCTCAGTGAGCTTGGAGAACACGTGCTCCGTCATCACCTTCAACAAGGGCGGCACCTGGGAGCTGCTCCAGCCCCCACACAGACCCATGTTGGGGAGCACATCGACTGCCAGGTACCACAGGGCTCTGGGACGGGGAGAAGACCCCCAAAAGTGGCATTTGGGGCTGTGGTTTATTAATGAGTGGTTTGGTGATCTTGGAGAACATGCGCTCCATCATCACCTTCAACAAGAGTGGCACCTGGGAGCTGCTCCAGCCCCCACACAGACCCATGATGGGGAGCACATCGACTGCAAGGTACCATGGTGTGGTGGGACCAGGACAAGAGCCCCAAAAGTGGCATTTGGGGATTTATTAGTGGTGGGCTTGGTGATACTGGAGGTGTTTTCACTCTACAAAAAGAGGTTGAAATGGCAACACCACCTCAAGGGAGTCCCTCCTGGCCTTTCCAAGCAGAGCGGGCTGCATTAGACAGCATGAGGGGTGGGTGTTAATCCACTGTCCTGCTTTCCCAGTTGTCCCAGGGCTGCTCTCTCCACCTGGCCCAGCGCCTGAGCCAGCTGCTGAATTTCCAGCTGCGCAGGATGCCCATTCTCTCCAAGGAGTCGGCACCAGGACTGATCATTGCCACTGGTACTGCTTTTCCCTTGGCTTGGGGGGTGTTGTTGCCAGGCAGTATTTAGTTTGTACAAGCAGGTTATAAAATGCAATTAAATGGTGCATTTTGCTGTCCTTTCCCTGCTGCAGTCCCCATACAGTAATTACAGAGGGAACATTTCACTGCAGCACAGAGATGTGAGAAACCTGCTCTGTTCTGATCCTCTTTCCTGATCCTCGTGAAGGGCTTCTTTAAGATTCAGAAATTCCTGTTTGTCTCGCTCTGTTACTGAAGAAAGCACACATTTTGTTTAATCATATTTGTAGCCATGGGTTTTTCCCCCATCTGCTTTGAAAACTTGAAATAGTCCTTGAAATATTTGCTTTTGAAGGGATTAATTTATAGTGTGAAAAATCATCTCCTCAATCACAGATAAAAATAGTTTGGAGGTGTCTGGCTTCCTTTTAAGCAATCACTTTGCATTCCACAAGAAGTATGATTTCTCCCATTCTCCCAGGCTCCGTTGGCAAGAACATGGCAAGGAAAACCAATGTTTATATCTCGAGCAGCGCTGGAGCAAGGTGGAGAGAGGTAAGGCTGCTCTTACCCCTGCCAGATCAGCCAGAGTGGTGGGGGAACAGGAAGAATTTTGGCAGCAGTATAAATGAGTTACATTAAAGGTGATTTCATATGAATACAAGAGCTGGAAGGTGCTCAATGCCTTAAAACGAGGGAAAAAGGTTTTTAGATGAAGGACCAGGTGTGGGTTGGTTGGAGAGGAGCCTCTGGTGTGGATGGTGGATTCAGACAGATGAGAGCTTCTCCTCTGTTCTTCCTTTACACCTGGCAGGACTTTTCCTCAGCATTTGGTGTCTTTGAGATGGGACTGACAGCCAGGACTTGGTGTGTGAGAGAGTCTGGAGAGGCTCTGGCTCCTTCCAGAGAAATGGGAGCTGCCCTCGGTTTATGGGGAGCGTGCTGCTGTTTACTGAGTGGATGTTCTGGTCTGTGGCAGTGTTTGTGGTGTGCCTGTGCACTGTGCAATGTGGTATTCCAACATCTGCAAGCCATTTAATCCTGGGAGCTGAGCAGCCTCCTCTCCCCCTGCGAGTGCGGCGTGGTCAGCGTGAGGTCTGGGCAGCTGCACTGGGGCTGGGGACATGCCACAGGTCTGACTGATGCCAAAGGTGGTTCAGAGGCTGCTCCTGGCTCCAAAACCCAGCTGGAGAGCAGCTGTGGGGACCCTGCAGCCAGGCAGGAGCTGACAGATGGGGCAGGGTATCCAAAACCAGAGACTCTCAGGTGCCAAGCTCCGCAGATCCGCCTTGGAGTGCAGTTAAAACATTCTGAGGAAGCGTTGATCCAGAGCTCCTGACTGATGTTTGTATCATGAGCAGAGGTGCAGAATGACCCAGCAGTGCAGCTGAGAAGCAGCACCACAGCTCCTCCTGCTCAGCTTTGGCTGGGAGGCTCTGCAGATCACAGGGGTGATTTCACGGCCCAGAGAAGAAAGGAACAATGCGTTCAGAGCCCTGAATGTCCCCAAGTGTGGCAGCACGTCCTGTGAGCAAGGTCTGGCATGGACACACTCCCTGTATTCATCCCAAGGTGCTCTGGGCTCCCTGGATGGGAAAGCAAAGCTGATTGTGTGCTGGAGGTGTAGGTGAGCGTGAGATCCAAGCTTCTTGCCATGGATGAATTGTCTCCAGGGCTTGTGTCTGCATGCCATGGCCCCACTTCTCTCTGAACATTCCACAGCCTGAGGGCCAACTTCTCTGCAGTCCTGGGACGGCCACAGGTCACTGCTGGGTGTCAGGAAAGCCTCACAGAGGTGACAAATTAGAGGAGGAGTGATGGACTCTGGTTCTGTGTCATGGTGCTTCTTCCACTGATTCTTTCCCTGCACAGAGCACAGGAGGAGCAGAGTCCAGGGCTCAGGGCACCTTTTACACACATCTCTTGTGGGAAATGGGCTGGCTATTCTCATCTGCAGATGGTGTCCCATAAACACTTGAATCTCTGGTGCCTCCAGATACTTGATTTGGCCCAGGCTGAAGCATTAGCTTGGCTCAGGCAGAGCTTCTGACCAAGCCATTTCCCTTCACTCAGCAGAGCTCTGATCACCCCTCAGCGCTGTCTCTCTTCCAGGCACTGTCTGGACCCCACTACTACACCTGGGGTGACCACGGTGGAATTCTGGTGGCCATCGCCCAAGGCACCGAGACCGACCAGCTCAAGTGAGTGTCAGGGCACAGGGACTGCTCTGCTGCTTGGCTGGGCCATGGCAGAGAGTGCCCTGCAGCAGGACATGCCCCTGGCACCTCTCCCAATCTCCTTTTCTGTGCAGGTACAGCACAAACGAAGGGGAAACCTGGAAAGTGTTCACGTTCTCGGAGAAGCCGGTGTTTGTGTACGGGCTCCTGACCGAGCCTGGCGAGAAGAGCACCATATTCACCATCTTTGGCTCCTACAAGGAGAATGGCCACAGCTGGCTGATCCTGCAGATCAACACCACTGACGTGCTGGGTAAGGGGACGGGTGGCAGAGCCATCTCTGGGGTGGCTCTGCAGGTTGGAGGGAGGGCATCTCCTCATGCCCTGTCCCAGGTGTCTCATGTCCATGTGGACACAGCTGCTGGAGGCACTCCTGTGCTCTCCCTGTATTCCTTCCCTCCTCACTGAGGAATTTGTTGAAAAGGAAAAGAGAAAAAAAAAAAAAATTCCTTCTGAAGGCTTGTGCCTATGAATGTTTTATAACCCATTTCAGCTTTGATTGCGAGGCAGCATTTTAATCAAAGCGCAGTTAAACCCAGCAGAGGAATTTGCTTGACTAAAATTTATCACCGATTCCCTTGACATTTTGTTGGGAACAGTTCTGTTTGGTAACCAGAACGAGTTCATTCAGATTCCCTGTCACTGCCACGGAGCTGCCTGTTCCCTCCTGTCACCGCGTGCTGCCTCACGCTCCCAGCTGGAGCCTTCCCTTCCCCTCTCCTTTGGGGGAAGTTTTGTGCCAGGGGAGGGAATCACAGAATGAACTAGGTGGGAAAAGACTTTTAGTTGGAAAAGACCCAACACATCCTCATCAATTAAACCATGGCAGGAGTGCCACGTCCAGGCTTGTTTTAAACACCTCCAGGGATGGTGACTCCATCCCCTCCCTGGTCAGGTGATTCCAGTGCCCAGTCCCCCTTCCATTGAAGAATTTTTCCCTGATGTCCAACCTAAACTTCTCCTGGCACAGCTTAAGGCTGTGTCCTCTCGTTCTCTCAGTGGTTGCCTGGGACAAGAGGCGTTCCTGTGGTGTGGGGCTGGATGCCAGCACGCCTGGCACTCCTGGGTACCCAGGGACATCAGCACCTCCCTGTCTTTAAACCTGGAGCACTGAAAATCCTGCACTTTTCTGCACCCCAACCTTGTTTCTCCTCTCAGGGGTCCCTTGCACAGAGAATGACTACAAGCTGTGGTCACCCTCGGATGAGCGAGGCAACGAGTGTTTGCTGGGGCATAAAACCGTTTTCAAAAGGAGGACTCCTCATGCAACCTGCTTCAATGGGGAAGACTTTGACAGGCCTGTCATGGTCTCCAACTGCTCTTGTACGAGGGAGGACTTTGAATGGTAAAATACCAATTAATTTCTTCTAGCCTGGATTGTAAATCCAAGATAAGTATCTGTGACCAATCGCTCCGAGTGAGCAAACATCCAATTTATGTAGCTCGGAATGTCCCTGCTTCATTTTATAGCAGAGAGGAAACTAAACAGACTGAAAACAACCTTTCATTAATAACAGGGCATGAGACTTTAATTAATGTCTTTAGAGCCTTTTGGGAGCCTCTGAAAGGTTCCACGGAAAAGGGAAGTATTGTTAATCCATCACCTTCCAAAGGAGAATGGGTAATTTCCCATCACAGACAGAGACCCACTAAAAATCTTTGTGATTCTGTAGCCACAGGGGTGCAGCTGGCCCTGCTATTGCCCTTTGACTGCAATTCCCACAATCCTGACACTGCTTTCAGGATCAGGAAACACGCTCTGGCAAACTGATGTAAAGGCTTGGGGTTAGAAAGGAAACTGCTTTTGAGGGCCTGGGCTTTCAGTGGAGCTCACACCAGGCTGCTCCTGTCTGATGCTGAGACCAAGTCTGGCTCAGCACAAGCAGACTGAGAGCAGGGCTGATGCGAGCCTGCCTCAGAATTCAGCCCTGGGCTCCCTACAGAATGCCACTGACAAAACCTCTCTCCCCCACAGCATTTTCCAAAGAACAGCCACACTGTAACTCCCCTTTTGCCAGCAGGACCAGCCAAGAGACAGAGCCGTGACCCGAGCCAGCTCAGCAGCAGCACTGGGGCTTGCAGCCAGCTTTGCAGAGCAACTGCCTCAGCTCTGCCTCACCTTCCCCAGCCTGCCCAGCCATGGCAGAGCTGATTTGCAAAGTGTTCCTGAAACACCCTGCCTGGCTGGGAGATGTTCTGTGCAGCTAAATACTGATAATGAATGAAGGGTCACTTTGGGTTCTTAAAAGTTCTGTGCAAAAATAGACTCATGGTATAGCGTGGCTGCATTTTTTGCTTTTCCCTGTCCCTCCCTATGTCTTTCTTCTCCTTGCAGTGATTTTGGCTTCAAGCTGAGCGATGATTTGTCCTTAGAAGTTTGTGTCCCTGACCCTGAGTTTGCTGGCAAACCCTATGACCCACCAGTCCCTTGCCCTGTTGGCTCAACCTACAGGAAGACTCGAGGGTATGTGCTGTGCTTGGGAGGGCAACCTGATATTCCAAGTGCTGGAATTTATCTTACTGGTGATTTAAAAAACCCCAAACAACCACAACACCCACGAGAATGGCAGCAAACAAACAGCATGTTAGCACATACATGGCAATTAAACACCACAGCTTATTCTGGCTGCACAGGGTGGTTTGTTCACAGTTTTTTTTTTCTCCATGGAATAAACTGCCTGGCTCTGTGTGTTGCAGCTACAGGAAGATCTCTGGGGACACTTGCACGGGTGGAGACGTCGAGTCGCGGCTGGAGGGGGAGCTGGTGCCGTGCCCGCTGGCGGGTGAGTGTGAGCACCAGGAGCTGCTCTGGGCACAAGGGCCCCATTCATAAAACCTTTGGCTGGTGCCTCAGGGACCAGGCACAGAGTCCCAGAGGGCTCTCAGACAAAACCTGTGACACAGGAGCCTGGGTGGGTTACAAATCGCCCTCTCCTGTCCCGTGGCCGGAGCTTCTGAGGGTCCTGCTCAGGAGCAGTGGCTGCCCACAGTGCAGAGCCCTCAGGGCCAGGCTGCAAGCAGGAGCCCCTGCACCCTGCTCATGTCCTTGCTGCAGCTGGCTTGAACCCAACCAGAAAGACAGAAATTAGATCGAAGATACCCCCATCCTTGGGAAGGTCCCCTTGGGAAGGTGTGACCGTGTTCACAGGGGTCCAAGGATGAGGGAAGAGACGAGGATCTGACTCCATGTTTCAGAAGGCTTGATTTATTATTTTATGATATATATTACATTAAAACTATACTAAAAGAAAGAATTTCATCAGAAGGCTGGCTAAGAATAGAAAAAGAAGGAATGATAACAAAGGTTTGTGGCTCACACAGAGAGTCCGAGCCAGCTGGACTGTGATTGGCCATTAATCAGAAACAACCACATGAGCCCAATCCCAGATGCACCTGTTGCATTCCACAGCAGCAGATAACCATTGGTTGCATTTTGTTCCTGAGGCCTCTCAGCTTCTCAGAAGGAACAATCCTAAGGGAAGGAATTTTCAGAAAAGATCATGGCTACAGGAAGGTCCCACTCTGAGACAGCTACCGTGTGCAGCTGAACCGTGGCCCTTTGAGGCCATACCAGGGCAGACCTTCATCCCTCACACCTCTGCCTGCCAGAATTCACCCTCCCCATCCTCATTTTCTCCTCTGGAACGTACAAGGCACTGTAGCAGTGCTGTGCCCCTGTGCTGCCAGAGTTATTTGCATTCTGCTCATTAGAGCTTTAATTTAATCTGCCGTCACGAGCTGCGTGATCAGCATTGCTGCTTGCTGCAGCTCCAGAGCCTCAGGCAGGGCAGGGGCTCGTGGAAGGGCTGGGGAGCAGAGCAGAGCAGCCAGACCCACCAGCAGCAGGCTCCTCTGCACTGCCCTAAAATTTTTCAGCGTGCAAAAGATATTCCAGGTGTGGAACAGCACGGGGAAGCATCCCCTGCGCTGGGACTCCTGCCAGCTCTGCACTCAACTTTACTCCTGACACGTTCTTCGCTCCTCTGAGCCCTCTTGAGCTATTTGGAGAGCTGTGTTGGGCATGCTGAGAAGGGCCCTGCTGATTGCAAAGTAAACCTGCTGTCCCCACGGGCTGGCCTTTGAAGTGCTGTGTTCCCAGAGATGGGCTGGGGATCCGTGCTGGCTCGCTCCATGGTAACACTTTCATGTACAGGATCTGTTTCATATCTCCCTATAATCTCATTAGGGATGCACAGCCAGAGTTACTTACTGACATTAGCTCTACTCATTAATAGCATTATTGGGCTTGACTGGTGGTGGGATAATGCCCAGGAGACTTTGTCCTGGACCAGGATCCCATTACCTGGATTCGGCTCCACTGGGAAACAAAACCCACTCTGGGATATTTCCTGGGCCAGTGTCCCTGAGGACTTGCAGAGTTGCATCACTCCCACTCTTTTTAATGTTGGGGATTTTTAAGGAAGAGGAGATCTGTGACCGTGTTCACAGGGGTCTGAGGATGAGGGAAGAGACGAGGATCTGACTCCATGTTTCAGAAGGCTTGATTTATTAGTTTATGATATAGATTATATTAAAACTATTCTAAAAGAAAAAGGATTTCATCAGAAGGCTGGCTAAGAATAGAATAGAATAGAATGATAACAAAGGCTTGTGGCTCAGACTCCGTCCGAGCCAGCTGGGCTGTGATTGGCCATTAATGAGAAACAACCACATGAGCCCAATCCCAGACCCACCTGTTGCATTCCACAGCAGCAGATAACCATTGTTTGCATTTTGTTCCTGAGGCCTCTCAGCTTCTCAGGAGGAACAATCCTAAGGGAAGGAATTTTCATAAAAGATGTCTGTGACAGAGATCAGTATTTTGTTTCTTATTGGCAGCACGAAAGGGGTCGGGGCAGGTTCTGTGCCGCCTCCTCCTCCTCCTGGACCAGACAATGCCCACAGTGTGTGCCCAGCCCCATGTGAGGCCATTACCACATTCCCATTAACCTAATCCCACTGAGACAAAAGCTCTTTCCCTCCCCGAGGTGCCAAACCAGGGGTGAAAAACACCTGCTATTTTCTTTCTTTTGCCCCTCGAGTAGCCAAAAACGGCCACTAAATCAGGCATTGTTGTTGCAGAGGAGAACGAGTTCATCCTGTACGCCACCCGATACTCCATCCACCGGTACGACCTGGCCTCGGGTGTCAGCGAGGAGCTGCCCCTGGCCGGGCTCAGGGGTGCTGTGGCCCTGGATTTTGACTACGAGCACAACTGCCTCTACTGGGCTGATGTCACTCTGGACATCATCCAGGTGAGCTGGGAGCAGGGAGGCATCACCCCCTTGCCACCCGGGTGTTGCATCCACACCCTGAAATGCAAATGTTTGTCCTGGTGCTCCTCCCCTCCAAGCTGGCTGTCCCCTGACCTTTCAGGCTTCAGGCAGTTCCTCGTTTTTTATTCTGATTATTTTTGTGCTTTTCCCCAGCGTCTCTGTCTCAACGGCAGCTCTGGGCAGGAAATAATCATAAGCACTGGGTTGGAAACAGTGGAAGCTTTGGCTTTTGAGCCTCTCAGCCAGCTGCTCTACTGGGTCAACGCTGGGATTCCCAAAATCGAGGTACAGCTCTGCCCACCCGTGGCAGTGCATATTTTATTAAGGAGCAATTAACTGCCTGCCACAGATTCTGTGTCACTTCAAGCAGTGCCAGTAGCAAACACACCTGTCCTGGCTTTGGTTTTGGGTCTAGGTTGCCAATCCAGATGGAGACCTGAGACTGACTGTCCTCAACTCCTCGATACTGGAGCGACCCAGAGCCCTGGCTCTGGTTCCTCGAGATGGGTAAGAAAGGAAACATCACAAGTATTTCCCTGCTATTCCCAAGGAAAACTGCTGCTCCTTCACTTCCTCCTCAGGAGGACAGCTTGGTGAGGTGAAATTGGGGACAGGCACAGCACAGTCCTGCCCTGTGGAGCCCACTGTCACCACTGCATCCCCAACTAAGGCACCAGCTCCCTCAGAGCACAGATCACCAACTGTTAATTCCTTCCTGCCCATACATATCCATTGGTAAATAACTTTTCCTGCCTGTAAAACTGGTCTGGTCAGTGGGGGAAGCTGCAGTGATGCGTGAGAAACTGAGCTGTGTTCGAATTCAAGAGCCAAATCCAAGCTACATCTTTTTGGGGTTTGGCCTCAGCTGCGAATGTAAGCTCTGACAAACCAAAGCAGTTCATGGCAAGGTAACCTGCAGCTGCACTCCCACCAGAGCCTGCAGCTCAAAAGCCTCTGTGCTGCTCATAAATCTGCTGCTGGTGGCATTCATTAGAATTGCAGAGCTCCCTGTTCAAAGGCATGTCGAGCAAGGGGCACGGAATGTGGAGCATTCCCCCCTCTGCCTCTCCTAACCCTGATCCTTTTGATGAGCTGCTGTGACCATGTTCACAGGGCTCTCAGGTTGAGGGAAGAGACGAGGACCTGACTCCATGGTTCAGAAGGCTTGATTTGTTATTTTATGATATATATTATATTAAAACTATACTAAAAGAATAGAAGAAAGGATTTCATCAGAAGGCTGGCTAAGAATAGAATAACCAAGAATGATAACAAAGGCTTGTGGCTCGGACAGAGAGTCCGAGCCAGCTGGGCTGTGATTGGCCATTAATTAGAAACAACCACATGAGCCCAATCCCAGATGCACCTGTTGCATTCCACAGCAGCAGATAACCATTGTTTGCATTTTGTTCCTGAGGCCTCTCAGCTTCTCAGGAGGAAAAATCCTAAGGAAAGGAATTTTCATAAAAGATGTCTGCGCCAAGCTGCTCTGTGTGGGTTTGGAGTAACCTCTCTGCCTGCTGCCAGGTTGATGTTCTGGACAGACTGGGGGGACTCCAGGGCTGGCATCTACAGGAGTGACATGGACGGGTCCCTGGCCGGGTGCATCGTCTCGGAGGGCGTGCGCTGGCCCAACGGCATCTCTGTGGATGAGCACTGGATCTACTGGACTGAAGCCTACATGGACAGGATCGAGAGGGTGGATTTCAATGGCATGCAGAGATCTGTGATCCTGGACAGCCTCCCTCACCCCTATGCCATTGCTGTATTTAAGGTTTGTTTTCCCCGTTGTCATTTTTTCCGTAGCGTGCAGGCTCTGAGGCTGTTGCTGGAGGAGCACAGGGCACACTGAATTTGGAGGATAGGGATGTGATTTGGAGCACCCTTTGTCTCTCTGTCTGCTTCCTTGAAGCATTCCCACAGATCCCTGAATTTGAAGGATGGGGATGTGGTGTGGAGCAGGCATGACACTGTCTCTCTGTCTGCTTCCCTGAAACATTCCCAAAAATCCCTTAATTTGGAGGATAGGGATGTGGTTTGGAGCACACTTTCTCTCTCTTTCTGCTTCCCTGAAACTTTCCCACAGATCCCTGAAACCAGCAGGCAAGTGCAGCCCAATCCAGGACCAGCATTCCCAAGCAGCTGCCCTGCAATGTTTGCCACTCAGCAGATCACTCTGTCACTCTCATTCCTGCTCAAATCCCACCTCAGGCCTTCCTCTTCCTCTCCCCTGTGGGCTGGGGACACTTTTCACTCTCTCTTTTCCAGTGTTTAGGGTGATGAGTGCAGGTAGCACCGGTGAGCACGGCCCTGGAGGTGCCTCTGCTCACACTGAGAGCCAAGCCTGTGTTTCAGAATGAAATCTACTGGAATGACTGGTCACAGCTGAGTATTTTCAGAGCATCCAAAACCAGCGGCTCCAGGATGGAGATCTTGGTCGGCCGACTGAATGGGATCATGGATATGAAAATCTTTTACAGAGGAAAGACAACAGGTAACGATGCAGATGATCCTCCCTGGGGTTTAGGAATGTGTTCATCCCCCATTTCCACTGGGCCATCCTGGCTTGCATTTCCTGACCACCCATTCCTGCAGGGCTTGAGGCTTTCAGGAATGAGTTTCATTCTGCTTTTGGCTGCCAGGAGAGAGAGCTCAGAGGGCACTCGGCTGTGGTGGCACCTCATGGTTTGTGTCAGATCCTGGCTTTTCCATCAGAGTTGTACAGGCCAAAAACCACAGGATCTCAGGGCTGCACCAACTTTGCTCTCCTCTAATGTCTGCCTGCATTGTGCCAAGGCAGTGCTGACCCCCGTGGGCTGTTCATACCCATTTCCAGATGGGTACCAGACCACGGAAGGGCTCTAGACTCTGAGGGTGTAACTGACACCCTTTGATAGACCTCCAAAGCCACTGGGATGAGCTGTGTCCCTTAAAGGCCAATCTTTCCCCCTTAAAGGCCCTCAAACTCCCTGGAGATGGCTCTGGGCATTCCTAGGGGTGACCTCAGCACTCAGCCCTGCAGAGCTGGCTCCTGGGGGGGTCTGAACCCAAAGCAGGTGACACTGGGGCTCCCGTGCCTGTGTCCTGGGCTGGCAGGTGACACCGGGGCTCCTGTGCCTCTATTCTGGGACAGAAGGTGACACTGGGGCTCCCGTGCCTCTATTCTGGGACAGAAGGTGACACTGGGGCTCCTGTGCCTCCATGCTGGGCTCACAGGTAACACCAGGACTCCTGTGCTTCTGTCTTGAAGTGGCAGGTGACACTGGGATTCCCATGCCTCTGTTTTGGGCTGGCAGGTGACACTGGGGCTCCTGTGCCTGTGTCCTGGGGTGGCAGGTGACGCTGGGGTTCCTGTCCCTCCTTGGTGGGCTGGCAGGTGACACTGGGGCTCCTGTGCCTCTATTCTGGGATAGAAGGTGACACTGGGGCACCTGTGCCTCCATGGTGGGCTGGCAGGTGACCCTGGGGCTCCCGTGCCTCTATTCTGGGATAGAAGGTGACATTGGGGCTCCTGTCCCTCCATGGTGGGCTGGCAGGTGACACTGGGGCTCCTGTGCCTGTGTCCTGGGGTGGCAGGTGACACTGGGGCTCCTGTCCCTCCATGGTGGGCTGGCAGGTGACACTGGGGCTCCCGTGCCTCTATTCTGGGCTCACAGGTGACGTTGGGGCTCCTGTCCCTCCATGCTGGGCTGGCAGGTGACCCTGGGGCTCCCGTGCCTCTGCCCTGACGCTGTCCCCTTCCTCCTGCCCTGCTCCAGGGCAGAACGCCTGCATCACCAAGCCCTGCAGCCTGCTCTGCCTGCCCCGGTCCAACAACGGCCGCAGCTGCAAGTGCCCCGAGGGGGTGGCCAGCACGGTGCTGCCCAGTGGGGAGCTCAGGTGTGACTGTCCCCACGGCTACAGCATGAAGAACAACACCTGCATCAAGGAAGGTGAGCTCCTGCTTCAAGGGAGGTGAGGTCCTGCCTGCTCTTGCTGCTGCCCAGGGCTGAGGTGGCTCTGCCATCACGAGAGGTCGGTGTCACCTGTCCTCTGGCCCGTTTCTGGAGGCACAGCCTCATGCCAGCTTGTTTCTGCTGTCCCTCCTGCCCCAGAGAACACGTGCCTGCCCAACCAGTACAGGTGCTCCAATGGGAACTGCATCAACAGCATCTGGCAGTGTGACAATGACAATGACTGCGGGGACATGAGCGACGAGAAGAACTGCCGTGAGTGTCCTGCCCTGGTGGCACTGGCCTGGCCAGGCTCAGGGCTCTGCTCTGGTGGCACCTCAGCTGCTGCTCCACGCTCCTTTCACAGCCAGGGAGAGCAAGAGGCTCTCTGGGGGTGTAACTCAGCTCCTTGGTGACTCCCAAAGCAAATTTGGGATGGGTTTTGTCCCAGTCCCCTTGACCAGATGCATCAGTGTCTAAAATTTTGGTGAGGTTGATGCCAACTCTTGCACTAATTGTCTTCTGAAGTTAATTGAGGGCACAGCCAGTGAGGAAAAGAGAGCAGACAGTGCTGACACAGGCCTCTTGTTGAGATAATAAATCAAGTTCACACATTAAAGATGGAGGTCACCTTTCTGAGCAAAGTTAGGAGCAGCCAATGTGTGCAGGAGGGGCAGATGTTCCATAGATTTCCACAGCCTGAAAGGTTTGGATTAATGCACTGTGGATAAAGGACTGGGTTTGAAGTTAGGAATCACTGGAGGACCAGGACAGAGGCTGATTATGCCCATTTTGTGCCAATGAGGAATTTATTTCCCTGACAAAGCTGAGGTACCAGTCAGCAGCGTCCAGGTTTGAGTTCAATGGCTCCAGGTCCTCTCCATTTCTTGGAGAGAGGTCACCAGCTTTGCACAGAGGTGCTGCCATGGATGTTCATGGCCAGCTTCTCCCCTGCTTGGGCTGCCCTGTCTCCTCCCAGCACCTGAGGTTTCAGTCCCTTGTGGGGAGCACACAGCTCCGCAGCCTTGGCTTGGGAGTGGACATCAGGAGCTTCAGTCCTGGTCCCCGGACAGAAAACTGACCACTGTGCGCTGTGCTTTGCATGGAGTGCCTAAAAATGGCATTAAAACACAAGAGCAGGAATTCAGGCTGGGCTGGCAGGATTCTGTCCCTGTCCCTCCACTGCCCTGCACTCAGTACATACCCTCAGGCAGCAGCAACCATTTTCTAACCACCACCTCCTCCTCCTCCTCCTCCTCCTCCTGTCTCCATCAGCAACCACCGTGTGCGACACCGAGACCCAGTTCCGCTGCCAGGGCTCAGGGACCTGCATCCCCCTGTCCTACAAATGTGACCTGGAGGACGACTGTGGGGACAACAGCGATGAGAGTCACTGTGGTGAGTGCCCCTCCTGCCCTGGGCACGGGTGGGCAGCTGCTCCCCTTTGCTCTCTGTGCTGCTCAGAGCTGCTCCTGCTCTGGGTGCTGCTCAGGGGTGATGGAGGGGAAGATCCCCCTGTTTGCCCAGGCTGTCTCCTCCTCATTTACTGGGGGCTGGGAAATGGGGGACAGGAGCAGGATTTACAGGGTGTTTGGGAATTAGGGACGTGTAAAAACCCAGCACCATCATGTACGGGGAAGTGAGGGACGGGAGAAGAGAGCAAGGCCATGTGCTGGTCCTTCCCCTCACTGTGTTCCAGCTGGGAGATTTCTGTGCCATTATTATCCACCTTTCCTCTCTGCTCCTTGGGTATTCCTGTGACCTGAAGCTCAACATTTTGTTTGCAGAAGCTCACCAGTGCAGGAATGATGAGTTCAGCTGCAGCTCAGGGATGTGCATCCGTCTGTCCTGGATGTGTGATGGGGACAACGACTGCAGGGACTGGTCTGACGAAGCAAACTGCACTGGTGAGTGCTCAGGTGTTGCTCAAGAGCCTCCTGCTGCTTCTACTTTTTATTTCCAGCCTGGAAGACATGAGCCAGTGTCTCGTGCCTCAGTTTCCTTGCTTGTTAGAGCACCTTAGGGTGACGTGATGCTCCAAATCCAAGGATTTCTTTCCCCCAGGTTCACTGGGAATTTGCCGGCAGCTGAGATGCTCGCACAGTGACCCAACTTTGCTTTTTACCTGCAAGATTGCACCCACAGGCAAAGCTCTGTGGGATGGGAAGTGGTTTTGTGGCTGCTGAGCAGCCAAAGAGCTCTCCTGCAAGCAGAGCTGCCGTGTTGCAGGGAGGCAGCAGCCAGGCTCGTGGGCACTGGCAGCAGTTCACAGCCTTCACTCTGTCTCCTTGCCTTTAATCAGGTGCAGAGAACAGACACGCTCTTTGCAGCTTCTCCACAGTTAGTTGATGTGAAGAAGAGGCAGGTTTAGTTTGGGAAGTTTGGTTTGGCAGTTTTAGTCCTCCTCTGGCAGCTCGTTGCTCCACGGGCTCAGAAACCTAAAGAGGGTGCCCTAAGCAGGGAGTCCCACAGAGAAGAAGTCCCACTCTTGGTTTTACCTACAACTTGTATTAAAGCAGCCTGGCTGGCAGAAATAACCTTGCTCCTGCCCTGTGCCTCCTGTGCAGCAAGACCTGTGAGCCTCACTGTGTGTGTGGAGTGGAAAGTCACAGCACTCCACCCTCCTCACCACCACAGTGATGATGTTCCTCAGCAGCCTCCGGAGGTTAACACACCCACACAGAGCCTTTTTCTCATCAGATAAAACAGATAGCAGTGCACTGGCCTTTTCCCCTAGAAACAATCGAGCAAAACTATCAACCAAACCAAAAACCACAGTGTTTGCACAAGAAGAAACTTCTCAGAGCAGGCAGAGCACCAGTCTGTCAGTGAAGGACACAAGGTTGTATTCATCAAGCCATGTATGGGATATCTCAGGATAAAAGTCACAAGGTTGTATTTATCGAGCCATCCATGGGATATTTTAGATAAAAGACACAAGGCTGTATTTATCAAGCCATCCATGGGATATTTAAGATAAAAGCAGTGCTTTCCATGGCATGAGGAGCCTGCAGGGACCAGGATCTGGGAATGCTGGCAGCAGCCTGGAGCCTTTGGGACAGAGAGTGGCACCAGCTGCTGTCCCAGGGCTCTGGCAGGAGGATTTAAGAGATCCCTTTCAGGTCTTTGAGCTCCTCTTTGCTCACCCCCGTGGCATGTGCTGTGCCTGGAGCACCCAGGGCTGATCCTGGTCATTAGTATTCCATGAGTGTGGCTTTCTAAGAAGGTTTAATTTATATTGGTATCACTTATCTCTCGTATGAGTTTCTCCAGAGAGAATTACTACAGGAGAGGAACCTACTTCAAAAAGCGTGTCGGGTTTGTAAAGCCTCAAGTTGGAATTATCTAAGAGGATCACAATTATTTGAGGAACATTCCGTCTGACTTCACCGGGCTGCAATTATTGCTCTTATCTGAAATAATTACATTTCATGCTGAATACCTAATAGAATATTACTGCAGCAGATTGCACTATTTGGAAATATCTGTGAGTGCATGTCGCTCTCTAACCTGAAACTCAGGATCATGCCATTTAATTAAGTTGAACACTGCTTTTCTCAATAACTCTGAGTGCTCTCCTGCTTGAGGAGCAGGATTTGTCTCTGAAGTGACAACACAAACCAGGCTGCAACCCAGATACCCCACAGGCAGATATTTTCCTGACAGGAGCCTAAGGAAAACCCCCAGGGAGAATCGTATTTCTTGTTTGCTTTGGCAACATAGAAGAGCCTTGTTTGCCTTAATTAAAAGCTCTCTCTGAGTCTGTCCTGCTCTGCACGGGGGACTCTGCAGCTCTGCCAAGCCTTGCTTGATCTCGGTGGCATTTCTCACCATCTCTGGCTCAGTGCCACTGCTGTCACCTCTGCCCACGCTCCCCAAGGGCTGAGATCAAAGGGACAGAGGCTGCTGACTTTGGGGAGAGCTCTGGGACATCTCTACCCTGCAAAAGCCATCCCTGAGGCACAGCAGGCTCGTGAGCAAGGATGGCACAGAGAGGGGAAGACCACGGGAAACTGGGACTCAAGGAATTCTCCTGCCTGGGCTCCATGGGGTGGCTGCTTGTGCTGGGCCCCTGGTGGGAGATCCTGGGGCAGGGGAGGGAGCAGGGTGGGATTGGGTGGCCTGACACCCTCAGCTCAGTGGGGACGCAGTGACAGCCCCGCTCTCAGGTGTCCCCTTGCTCTGGTTCCAGCAGTTTCTCACACCTGCGAGGCCTCCAGCTTCCAGTGCCACAACGGGCACTGCATCCCGCAGCGCTGGGCCTGCGACGGCGACGCCGACTGCCAGGACGGCTCTGACGAGGACCCTGGCACCTGCGGTAACGGGGCCTGACTGTGAGGGGGGCTCTGCCACGGCCAGGGGGGGATCTCTGCACACCCACTGAGCTAAAACAGCGGCAAACTCAGGGGAGAGCCCCACACCCCTCCAAAAGCAGCCACAGTGCAGAGAAAACCTATTGTAAATCAAAGGTGACCCCAACAAAGGGGAGAGGATGATGAGGAGGACTCTGTGGGTAGCATAAGGCAAATCAGTTACTTTATCATACTATACACACCAAGGGATGTGTATAGTATGATAAAGTAATTAATATTTTATTTATATAATTTATTAAAAATAATTTATTTATACAATATCATAATTCTTTCATTTATATAATATTTTATTTCTATAATTTATATAAATTAATTTATTTTTGTAATATTTTAATTTTATTTATAATATTTTATTTCTATAATTTATATAAATTATTTGATTTCTATAATAGAATTCTTTCATTTATATATTATTTTATTTATAGAGTTTATGTAAATTATTTGATTTCTATAATAGAATTCTTTCATTTATATATTATTTATAGAATTTATATAAATTATTTGATTTCTAGAATTTCTATAAATTATTTGATTTCTATAATATAATAATTCTTTTATTTATACAATATTTTATTTCTATAATTTCTATAAATTATTTTATTCATAACATTATAATTCTTTCATTTATATAATATTATATTTATACAAATGATATAATTAATTTTATTTATATAATAATCCTTTTATTTATATAATATTTTATTTATATGATTTATATAAATTAATACTGTCTGACACACAGACACTTCTTGGCCCTGATAGGCCAAGGGAACAAAGCATCCTCACTTTGGGTAAACAATCTCCATATTGCATTCTACTTTAGAACAACACAGGCACAGCAAGCAAGATAAGAATTGTGTCTCCCTTCTTCTCTACTTGTCTCACAACACTCTCTGCTCAGAGGGCATGTGAATACCACAGCAACCCTGGCTTTTTTTTTATCTAATTAAAACAGCTTCAACAAAACCCCGAAAATTGCATAACACCCACCCAATTCTGCCTTTCAGAGAAGAAGTGCAACGGCTTCCAGTGCCCCAATGGCACCTGCATCCCCACCAGCAAACACTGTGACGGCATCAACGACTGCTCCGACGCCTCGGACGAGCAGCACTGTGGTGGGTACCAGGCTCAGGGGGGCTCTGGGGCCCTGCTCTGGGGCTGGCAGCATTAATGAGCTCATGTGCCTTGCTCTGCACCCAGTTTGTTAGAGGAGGAGCAGGGGATGAGGCCTTTCAGCCTTTCCTTCTTCTCCTGTGAATCTGTTACACGGCTATTGGAGAGTGTTCAGTTTCCCCTGAATGTTAAAGAATCTTTCTGGTATTCAGTCTGGTGAGCTTCCTCTGTACAGTCTGCAGCTTCTCTAGAATGAGGGCTGGGATTTCTAGAGGGGCTGATGAGACCCCTGACCCAGGAGTAGACCCAGGAGTGAAACATCCTGAGTGGTGTGGGAAATGGGAGGATATGGGCCAAATCCTGAAGGAATTCTCTGACCCCATAGTCTGGGACTTCCCACTGAACCCAGCTGAGGTGGGGAAATACCTGAAAGAAAAGTACCAGGATGAGCCTAAGGAGAATTATTGCACACTGCTAGATACTGTAGGGCAGCAGAAGAGGAAGGGCAGGGAGATAAATCAGCAGCTATCCCAGTCACTCAGGCTGCAGCCAACAGCCCAGGCTCAAAGCCAGCGGCTAAACCAGATACTGAGCCTAAGCCAGCAGCTAAACCAGACAATAAACCTCAGCCAATGGCTCAACCAGGGCACCATGTTAGCAGTTTGATCACTGACAGCGAGACAAACTGACAAAAGTTGTTTGTGGTTAGCAGTATTTAGTGAGCATTTGATGCAGGTTAGGTTGAATGAGGTTACTTTGACATCGTTACCTTCAGAGCATCTCAGGTTTTTAAAGAAATGGCCATTGGAAAGACATGATGACCTGCTGAGATGGATTGATATAAACTGTAGGTCCTTCAGAAGCCTTGCAGTTCCTACGGTTATGTGTCTTCAACTCACCTTCCCTTGAAAGCAAAACCCAGGTTTTACTTTAAAAAAAAATTTTTAAAGGGTTTCAAAAAGTCAGGGTTTTGTCTTATTTTATCCATAAAATCTAAAACATGTAGTTTAAGCATATTAGGTACTGTCTGAACCAGCTTTCTGCCCAAGCCAGGAATGGCAGTAAAGCCACTTTACTGCACTGGGAGTAAAGCCCTGGGAGATGATGGGGAAGCCTCACTGGGCAGTCACAGCCCCCTGTGAGATCAGCAGGTCAGCAAAAGGCACAGCCTGGGGGACACTGCCAGGGGGGCACCAAACCCCTCCTGGTGCCTGTGCCCGCCCTGAGGGCTGATCTGGTGAGGGCAGCACGTGCAGGGACACAGCTCAGACGGTTTGTCTCAGGAACTCTCTGCAAATCCCCAAAATCCGCCCTGAGCTGCGCTCAGAGCTGCACAGAGCCCGGCAGGTGACACTGCTGGCTGCAGGGACAGCAGAGGTGCCAGCCCTGTCCTTCCCCAATCCCTGCAGAGCCCCTGTGCACCCGCTACATGGATTTTGTGTGCAAGAACCGGCAGCAGTGCTTGTTCCACTCCATGGTGTGCGACGGCATCGTCCAGTGCCGCGACGGCTCCGACGAGGACGCCGCCTATGCTGGCTGCTGTGAGTGTCACAAGTGCCACAAATGCCCAGGGGAGGGTGGGCACAGCATGGAAACAGAGCCCTGGGGAGGCTACCAGGGATGCCAGCTATGCTGGGTGCTGTGGGTGTCACAAATGCCACAAATGCCCAGGGGAGGGTGGGCACAGCATGGAAACAGAGCCCTGGGATGAGCCAGGCATGCCAGGTATGCTGGGCGCTGTGAGTGACACACTCTGTTGTGTCACAAGTGTCACACCTCTGCCACAGCATGAGACCAGAGCCCTGAGGAGGGCCAGACTACCAGGGATGCCAGCTATGCTGGCTGCTGTGAGTGTCACCAGTGTCACACTTCTGCCAAGGGAGGGTGGGCACAGCATGGAAGCAGAGCTGTGGGGAAAGCCAGAGATGCCAGGGATGCCAGCTATGGGTGCTGTAAGTGTCACCCTGGGCACCTTTGCTAAGGGAGGGGTGGCCACAGCATGGAAACAGAGCCCTGGGCAGAGCCAGGCTATCAGGAAGCTCCCGGCTCTCCTAAAAGGTGGCTCTAGAGCTGCTTAGAAATCCGTGCTTGCCCCTGAGCCTGCTCCTTCCTGCTCAAGCTTTGCTGAAGCCCTTGAGCTTTACACCCAACCTCCCCCTGCAGCCCAGGACCCCGAGTTCCACCGGACCTGTGACCAGTTCAGCTTCCAGTGCCAGAACGGGGTGTGCATCAGCCTGGTGTGGAAGTGTGACGGGATGGACGACTGTGGTGACTACTCTGACGAAGCAAACTGTGGTGAGCAGCACGCCCAGGGCTTCCTGCCGCTTCAGCTCCAGCTTCCTTTGGATTGCAGGAGCGTGGAGCAGTGTCTTCCTCATGTTCTCACTCGTGTGTGTGTGAGTGTAGCACATCACAGCCTGTCCTACCTGGAGACCAGGGTCATTTTCCCTCCTGCTGCAGGCAGGTGAAGTGAAGCACGCAGAAAACCTGGCACATCTTGTGCTTGACTAACTCCTCTGTGACCATATTTACTGCACAGCCTCCCAGCCCTGAGCAGACAGGCAGTTTACAGCCAAACCCAATATTTACCACTGTTCCCCGGGTGGCTGCAGGAGCTGTACCCAGCCAGGCGAGGCAGCTGCAGCCTCATTTCAGAGCTGCAGGGTTTGCTCCTCCATTTCTGCCATGCTCTGGTGGATTCTGCTCTGCTTCTGAGGTCAGGGGTGGTGTCTGGCCACGAGGAACACAGACAGCAGTGATAACAACAGAGTGAGGGCTGGGAGGAATGGGAATGCTGGGGATGGAGAGGAAGGAATGTGCTTGTGCTGCTCAGGTGATGCTCTCTGAGGTGCTCCCACCTCTGAGCTGTGCTGAGGTGCCCCTGTGGCTCACAGGACTCTCCTCTCCTTGCCAGAAAACCCAACAGAAGCCCCCAACTGCTCCCGGTATTACCAGTTCCAGTGTGGGAACGGGCACTGCATCCCCAACCGCTGGAAGTGCGACCAGGAGAACGACTGCGGGGACTGGTCTGATGAGAGGGACTGCGAGGGTAAGGACACGCTGCTGGGGCCCTGACATGGGCATGACAGGGACTGGGACCTGCTGAAGGACCACTCAGCCCCCCTGGCTCCAAAAATGCCCCAGGAGTGGCCACTTTCAGGCATCTTTTACTCTGTGTTTTTGGATATCCTGATTGCAGACACAATGTAAAAACACCGGGTTTGTGATGCCTCACCTGCCTGCCCCTCAGCCAGCAGGGAGCTTACCCAGGAGCAGGAGCTCAGCTCAGCTGTCCCTGGTGTATTTTTAGGCTCTCCAGTTCATCCCATTACCACGCTGATCCCCCCCACGTGCCTGCCCAACCATTTCCGCTGCAACAGCGGCGCCTGCATCATGAACAGCTGGGTGTGTGACGGCTACAAGGACTGCTCCGATGGCTCTGACGAGGAGGCCTGTCCCACCCCAAGTAAGCCCTCCTCTCCCTCACCCCTTCCCTTCTCCCACATCACATCTGCAGGGAGCTCTGCCCTTTCAGAGCCTGGCCAGGTTGCGGGGTTAATTTGTGGTGTAAAGAAAATTTGTGGTGTAAAACAAAGTTTTGTCACCCTCCAGCAGTGCCACCAGCTGGGACAGTGCTCCAGAGCAGCACATTGCTCTGGTGGTGTTTGAGGATTTGACTCCATGCTTCTGAAGGCTGATTTATTATTTTATGATATATATTATATTAAAACTATACTAAAAGAATAGAAGAAAGGATTTCATCAGAGAATGGAATGATAACAAAATCCTTTGACTGACCAGACAGTCCGAGCCAGCTGGGCTGTGATTGGCCGTTAATTAGAAACAACCACATGAGACCAATCCTAGATGCACCTGTTGCATTCCACAGCAGCAGATAACCATTGTTTACATTTTGTTCCCGAGGCCTCTCAGCTTCTCAGGAGGAAAAAAAATCCTAAAGAAAGGGATTTTTCAGAAAATATCATGGCTACACATTGCCTGCAGAGCAGAGGCTTTTCCAGCCCTCTGCAGTCAGCAGAGAGGATGGCCAAGGCGTCATCCCCATCACCTGCTGGATGGAAGGAGGTTGCCATCTAGTGGAGCCGGGATGGGGACAGCGCTGCTCCCTCCTGGTGGCGGTGCCAGCGCTGGTGCTCTCCTGTCCCTCTGTGTGTGCAGGACCCAATGTGACAGCCACGTCCCCGGCGCTGCCGGGGCGCTGCAGCCGCTTCGAGTTCGAGTGCCAGCAGCTGCACAAGTGCATTCCCAACTGGAAGAGGTGCGATGGAGTCAGGGACTGCCAGGACGGCACCGACGAGAGGAACTGCCGTGAGTGTGGGCAGGGACAGGGGCACACCTGGAGCTCTCCCCTGGGGATCTCCCCAAGTGTCAGAACCCAGGACATCCCTCTGGCTGTCCTGGAGTGCCCAAACCCCTGCCAGGGGGCTCAGGGACCCTGGCACAGAGCCCAAGACCCCTGTGCCTTTGATTGAGCCCTTGGGAAAAACAATTACCAGCCCTTATATGGAGAATTTTAAGCCATGACAAATTAAATAGAATGATAGTGAATTTATCATGGGGTGAAAAATAGATTTTTGGGGGTTTTAGAATGGGGGTTCAGGGGGCAAAATGGAGGAATCTGGGTGTGTCCAGCCTTTCTCCTTCTTCTTAGCCTCCATCTTCTGCTGTGATGTTGGCACTTACAGATTGGTTTAGAGTAGAAGCTCAGTGTCTAACACAGGTGATGGGTATTGGGAAGTAATTGTAAATATTGTACAGGTAGTTTTTAGTATAAAGAGATAACACTGCCCTGGGGGCAGGCAGAGTGCCTCTGTCTGTCTTGCTGAGTGGACCTCAGCAGGACAGGAGAAAGAATTTTATAGATAAGAAACAATGAACAACCTTGAGACTGAGAACTGAACAGCTCTGACTCCTTCTTTGAGAGCTGAGCTAAGAGACTTTGTAAAATATCTCAGAGTCACTCTGACCAACTAGAGAACCCGAGACTTGTGAGGGTAAGGAAACCTCTGAGGAGGCTTTGATTGCTGGGGAAATACCTGCAGAAAAAAAAATCCTTTATGGAAAACAGAAATCCTTTACAGAAAAAATTTAAAAAGGATGAAGAGCCCAAGGGGTGCTATTCCCATTAGAAGTCCAGTTGTTGTTTTTCATGGGATGGGCTCCAGGTTCTTCTGAAGGTGCAGCCAGCAGGAGCCACCCCAGAGTGTGACACAGCCCAGTGTGTGCCACAGCAGCCTGAGCTCCATCCCTGGCATGCAGCCACCTGCAGACATTCCAGTGCTGCTGAGGGAACTTCCCTGCCTCCAGTCCTGAACTGTTGTGCCTCTTTTCAGCCACTCCAAGCAGCCTGTCCTGCCCTAGTGGCTTCAGGTGTGAGGATGGGGAGGCCTGCATCCTGCTGCCAGAGCGCTGTGATGGGTACCTGGACTGCTCAGACAGCAGTGATGAGAGGAACTGCACAGGTGAGCAGCAGCCCTGTCCCAGCCCTCGCTCCCTGCTCCCTGTCAGCACACAGAGGTGCTCTCCTGGGTCTGTCACCTTGCCCTCACAACATCCTTGATTTATCTGCCTCTGTTGTCCAAGCTGCCTCCTCACCCATTTATCACCAGCTGGGACAAACTTCCCAGCAGCTTCTGCACTGACAATTTGTCTTCCAGCAGCCTCAGAGAGAGGAAAAAAAAAAAAATCGTTTTAGGATGGATAGGAGCAAAGCTGGCTGTTTTACACAGGCCACAGGTGAAATGAGTCTCCTGCTCTGCCCTGCTTTGCAAGGTGACCCTGGGGATGTGGCACGTGCCCTGCTGCCATCCCTGGCTGTCCCTTGGTGGGGGCAGAGGGACAGAGCCCACCCTGGGCTGATAGCAGGGATTGATCACTGCCTGCAGCCAGCCATGAGCTTCAGCAGCTCCCCCACAGAACTGCTGGGGGGGCTGGGCATCAATCAGGTTTAGTTCTTTAATTAAATATTGATTGGGAGAGGCTAGCAGGGTTCAGGGGAGGGGGAAGGAGCTGCTGAGATGCACAACTCAGCTGCTTCACCGAGGGAAAACCATTTATTTTCCCTTGGAAAAATTGCCTTGCCATGCTGTCCATGCCCCCACATGCCTGCTGGATTTAATTCCAGCTGTTTAGGGAAAGCAAAACAGCAGCAATTTGCCCCTGCTCTGCTTGGTTTCTGTTCAGCACCAAAGCTGAGCACCCCAGCAGAGCCAAACCACAACAGTGGGATTTGGGCTCCAAAGAGAGAGGGATTTGGGCACACAAAGAGAGATCTGGGAGTGGTCTGGTGGGAGCAGGGCACAGATTTGGGGCTTTTCAGATCAGCACCTCCCATCCCCAGCCCTGCCAGGGCTGGGTTCCACAGTGATTTTATCCCCTGAATGCCTCTGTGAAGGTCAGGCAGTGATTCAGCCAGAGTTTGTGTCCAGGCAAGCCCCAAACTGGAATTACCAGCCTTTGCTTGGTCCTGCTGCTGAGCACAAGATGTGATAAGGGGAAAACACACAAAGAAAGGGCCTGGATGGTGACAGGGACAGCACAGACTGATCACAGCAGGAGAAGGGTGACAGTGGGCAGGTTTCACTCACACAATTCCAGAATTCCCAGTATTTCATCAACAGCCACACTTCATCTTTCCTTAGGGGAAAGGGGATGCTTGCCTGCTGCAGCATGAAGACATTTTGGGTAGAGCTGAGATCACCAGGGGTAAATCCCTGCTCTGAGCTGCCCTCTGTGAGCCCAGGACAAATCACACATCTCATTTACGTGACATCCCTTCAGTCAGTGCTGTTCCTGCTCCCCTGTTGCTGGTGTTACAAACAAAGCTCCTCCTGGGCACAGGGCTTGTTTCCCTGCAGCAAATTATTCCCTTTTCCCATTCTCTGCTCTCTCACTGTTCCCTTGTTTCTTTCCTGGGCACAGGGCTTGTTTCCCTGCAGTAAATTCTCTTTTCCCATTCTCTGCTCAGATGACACAATCGTGTACAAGGTCCAGAACCTGCAGTGGACAGCTGATTTCTCTGGTGATGTCACCCTGACGTGGGCTCGGCCCAAAAGGATGTCCTCGACCTCCTGTGTCTACAACATCTACTACAGGTACATCACCTCTCCCTGGTGTTGTGGCAGGTAAAGAGGACAAGCATGAGCACAGGTGTGCCTGTATTTACTGCAGAGAACCACAGAGAATCAGGCCTGAGACCTTCAGAGCTCCTTAATCAAGTTCTGCTTGGAAAATCTAATATTTGGTAGCAATAGAGACACAAAATAGGTGCACCCAGAGGGAAATTCTGACAAATTGCATTGGTTTCCTCCTTGACCAAGTTGTTATATTCATTTTTTTTTTCCACTTGGGCCTTGTCTTTGTGGGACCATTAACAGCAAGAACCAAGGTAATAAATTTGAGCACAAGAGTTATAGAAAAGCTCAGGGGCTTATAAGTCACCAAGACATGGTTAGTTTAGGCCTTCCAGTGGCATCTTTTCAAATTGCTGGTGTGGCACTACCAAAACAAGCAGCAGCCTTTTAAAATGGTTCCATTTTTTGGGATAAATATAAACGTTCTAGGCTAAAAAAGCCCATCCTGACTGGAGGCGTGTGCCTCTGTCCCTCAGGATGGTCGGTGAGAGCATCTGGAAGGTCCTGGAGACCCACAGCAACAAAACCAACGGCGTTCTCAAGGTCCTCAAGCCCGACTGCAGCTACCAGGTGAAGGTGCAGGTGCAGTGTCTGAGCAGGGTCTACAACACCAACGACTTCATCACTCTGAGGGCGCCCGAAGGACGTAAGCACAGCTGCTGCTGCCACCACTGCCTGCCACATTGGTGCTGCTTTGGGATGGACTTGGTTTGCAGGGAATGCCCCAACCTAGGCAGGAATGATGCATCCATGTTCTCAGGATATTCTATTATAGTATAATACTATTAATATTATATATATATATATATATATATATGTATATATATATATGTGTATATATATTACAAGATATATTTACATAATATATATACTATATATTATTATATAATATTATACATTATATATAACATATATTATATCATTATTAATTAATACAATTATTAATTACATATATTGCAATATATTAATTATATTATATTATTACTAATATATATACTAATAATATATTATACTATAATACCAATAATACTATATTTATAATACTATATAATGTTCTCATAATATGTCTCTTCATTTTCTCAGAATACTGTATTATACTATAATACTATTAATATGTTATATATATTACATATATATACAGTATATTATATATATTAAATCAAATTATATTATTAATATAATAAATATAATTATTATATATTATATATAATGTTATTAATAATATTATATATACACTATTAATATATTATACTATAATACTATATTTATAATACTATATTATATTAAAGAATACTATACTAAACTATATTATACTAAAGAAAATATACTAAATCCTAAAAAGATAATAATGAAAACTTGTGACTCTCTCCAGAGTCCTGACACAGCTTGGCCCTGATTGGCCAAAGAGTCAAAACAACTCTCACCAGAATACAATGAAACAATCTCCAAACACATTCCACATGAGCACAACACAGGAGAAGCAAATGAAATAAGAGTTTTCCTTTTCTCTGAGGCTTCTCAGCTTCCCAGGGGAAAAATCCTGGGTGGAGAAATTTTTTCAGAGAATGTGAATGCCACAGGGCTGAAAAGTAGAGATATCCCTGCTATGAACAAAAAGGGTCTTTCCCTGGGTTTGGGAATTAATCACAGAATCACCAGGTTGGAAGAGACCTTCAAGATCATCAAATCCAACCCCTACCCCAGCACCCCAACTCAACCCTGGCACCCAGTGCCACATCCAGGCTTTGTTAAACACACCCAGGGATGGGGACTCCACCACCTCCCCGGGCAGAACATTCCAGTACAGAATTGTGCTGGACTGGGAGCAAGGGCCATCCACCCCTTTGTCCTGATTTTTCAGCGAGATTCTGCTTTCCCCTGCACGCTCTGGGCACACCACTGTGACTGGCACTAATGTTTCTCTTTCTCTCTCCAGTACCAGATGCTCCCCTGAACCTGCAGCTGTCCCTGAAGAGAGAAGCTGAGGGTGTGGTGATGGGCTGGTGGAGCCCCCCCGTGAACGCCCACGGCCTCATCCGGGAATTCATCGTGAGTCCTGCTGCCCCTGGGGACGTGGGGACACTAGCACACAGCCAGCTGCAGGGTGGGGTGGGCCTGGAATGGGATGTTGTGGGGAGGAAATCTGCTGGGAGCATCAGGCAAGTTGGGAGAAGAAATGCTGTAGGCAGCACCACAGCCCTGGAGTTCTTAATTTCTCCCTTTCTGAGATGTCGTGCTTCTTTCTGCTGGCATTTTATCTCAGAGGGACAGAGATAAACAGGTCTGGGATAGAGATAAACAGGTGTTTCTGCTGACCTGTGGTATTTTTGAGTCCTCACGCCTTGCTTTGGTGCTCCTAGGTGGAATACAGCAGCAGTGGATCCAAGGAGTGGTCATCCCTCAGAACCACCAAGAACTACACCGAGATCAAGAACTTGCAGGTCAACACTCTCTACACAGTCAGAGTGAGTATTTCCAAAGCTCTCCCTCAGAGTATTTCCAAAACTTACTCTCAGAGTGAGCATTTCCAAAGTTCCCTCTCAGGGTATTCCCAAAGCTCTCTCTCAGAGTGAATATTTCCAAAGCTCGCTCTCAAAGTGAGTATTTCCAAAACTCTCTCAGGGTATCTCTAAAATTCTCTCTCAGAGCATTTCCAAAGCTCTCTCTCAGAGTGAATATTTCCAAAGCTCTCTCTCAGAGTATTCCCAAAGCTCTCTCTCAGAGTATTCCCAAAACTCTCTCTCAGAGTGAATATTTCCAAAACTCACTCTCAGAGTATTTCCAAAGCTCACTCTAAGTGAGCTCTCATTCCTGAGTAGCCTAAGTCCTGCACAGCTAAAAACTTGCTAAAAAAATATCTTGTTAAAAAAACATCTTGTTCAAGCCCTGCCCTTTAATGCCAACCCACAGCACCACTGCTAATGTCTACAGTTCCAAGGCCCTTGATTTGCTCCTTTGTCCCACAAGGCCAGGCTGGATTACAAAATCCTCCCTGCTAATTGCCCATTCCAATGTCACTGCAATTGCACTGGATGTGGGCCAGAGATAAATTTGGTCCTTGGTGTACGAGTGGGAAAAGAAGCAGATCTGCCTGTGGGGAATGTCTGCACAGGGGAGAGGCTGGGTAATTATAGACAGAAGTAATAAGAAAAGGAAATGAAAAGTCTGCACAGTGAGCCCTGGGAAATGAGTGCTTTGCCATTGTCCATGCTCCTGAGTTCTTGGGGAAGTTCACTGTGATGAATCCCCTCCTCCAAATCCGTGTTATTCTCACGGCTGGTTGGAGGCTTTCCTCCCGTGCTGTTCCTTCCCAGTATAACCCATCCCCAGATAAATATTGGGAAGTATTTCGGGGTTTGCATGTTCTTCCCTGGCCTGGCTCTCACCTACTTTATGGCCCGTGGAGTCCCCAGCTCCTTATCTCAATGGGCTCCTCCAAGATCCCATCAGAGAGCAGTTATCTGCAAAGAGGCTGCACCTCCCTCCTCTTAGATTCCTTTAATTGACTTTAGGCAGTCGGCTTTATCTCTGCATTAAGCATTTTATTGCCAAGTAATTAAGCTATTGTTTGCTTCCAAGTCCTTTTCCCAGGAGCCCTGCCAGGTCTGTAACCTTGCTCTCACCTCCCCTCTCTGTTTGCACTGTAAAAATGTTGCTCATGTTCCCTCTCCCTCTGGTTTCCAAAGGTTGCTGCAGTAACCAGCCGAGGGGTGGGAAACTGGAGTGAATCCAAGTCCATAACCACGGTCAAAGGCAAAGGTAAATGTTGTTGTTGTTTGGGTCGGGTCAGAGAAGGTGAGGAGCAGCCTGGAACACCAGCAGCAGCATCCAGAGCCACCTCCCCGGCCTTTACTCTCCCTGCTGAGCCTTTCACAGCTTTGCTGTTAAAAATGACCTGTAAAAAGTGATTTTTTCACTCAGCCTGAGCTGCCTCAGAGTTCAGTGGCATCTCTGGAAGGGTCACTGCCTCTTCCTCTGAGCCCTGTGGCACAGGGGATGGATGTGCTGCCCTGGCACTGAGCAGGAGCCTGTCCTCTCTGTCCCAGGCTGCAGACAGATTCCCTCAGACTTTTGTGGGCCAAATCCTGCCTCCAGATAGACAAGAAATTACCAACTCCATCACTCTCACTCTAAAACGATGCTGGCTCATCCTTCTCCCTCTCAGATCACAATTATTGTGGATCCTCCTGCAGGTTTAGACCACAAAAAACAACCACAGCTCCCAAGAACTATCACAACATCACAGTCTAACAGCAGATAAATTCAAACAGCACAGTAAATCATTTCCTTCCCAACCTGTTGTTTTTGTGGTTTTTTTTTTAAGAAAAGCCTTTTGAAGTCGTTTGTATTCATGCCAAGTTTTTTCGTCCAAACTTATGTCCCTGCATCAAAATTGTCTGCTAATTTGTCAGATGAAAGAAGGGAAAGAAAACACCAGGCTACTCAAAGTGCAGGATCCAGATAATGTGAATTACCTTGTGGTTAGAAAAACAGAGGTAGAAAGAACAGAAACAGCTCTGACTTCAGGTTTTGCACAAGTGCTTTGCACCAACAGCTCCTGATGTTCCTCAGCAGCTCCTTGGAAGTGCAGGAGCTGTTTCCTGGGATAGGAGCTCACCCTGCTGAGTGCAGAGGGAAATCCCTTTGCCCAGACCCATCCAGTTCCAGCCTGCACTGAGCAAGGCACAGATAAAGCAGCTTTTCAGTGCTGGAGCTAAAAATCAGTGTCTTCTCTGAGGGGGACGTGGCTTAGGCAAGGTTGGGGTGTCCTGTTCTGGGAGCTTTTAACACAAAAATCTGTATTTTATCTGTCCCCTCTCAAGAAATATTTTTTATTTCTTTGTGCTGTACTAACAGGTCTTTTCTCTCTTTCCTCCCAGTCATTCCTCCCCCTGTCATCCACATTGAGAGCTACAGTGAGGACTCCATAAGTTTCAGCCTAAAAATGACCACGAATATCAAGGTAAGAGTTTTTCCCCTTCCCTCTGAGCTGGGGAAACGGTGAATAGAGGCTGGGAGAAGCTGTCACCCACTGAAGCACTGCAATTACCAATTATTTCATGCCAAATCATTTCTTCCTGCTCCCAAACTGCCCCGGGGCTCTTAATTGGGATGGAAAATACAATGCAAGGACTGTCAGGGGTCTGAGAGTAGCCCTGGTTCCCTGTGTGCATCAGCTGAGCTGATGGCTCTGTGTCCTTGGGCTTGACAGGTCAGTGGCTACGTGGTCAACATCTACTGGACATTTGATAGCCACAGGCAGGAAAAAAGGACTCTGGTCATAGAAGGAGAAAAGTCCATCCAAAAAGGTAAATTCTGCTCAAAATAGAAAGCTTTGCTTTGGTCAACACCAAGCAGAAGGATTTATGAGGGGTTATAGGATTATTTTATTTCTTTATTGCTACTAGGAGTTCTGTTGAAACAATCCTGTTTAAATCTGGACAGGACAAAGCAGCAAATTCTCTGTTCTGAGAGATTTCAAGCAGATTTGGGATTTACCCCCAGAGCTGCACTAGTCCTTTCTCATCAGTGGGGTTTTGTTTGTTACTCCATTTTTAATCTGCCAAAGGGAGCAGAAACAGGACAGGGATTTCTTGGGCTTGCACACAGTAATCACATTTCTGGTTTGGGAGAATCTCAGTGTGGGTATGTGAAATCATCCAGGCACAGAAAAGCAAGGCTGGGTTGGATTCCAGAGTCTCAGGTGCTTCTGTATAAAGGAAATTACTGCGAAATCATGAAAGTACAGCCCAGGAGAGGCAGGCTCCTGTCTGTCTGTGATGCTGACCCTTCCCTCGTGCTCCCACCCTGCCCTCGCCGTGCTTTGTGCTTTGCCTCACCCAACAGTGCCCCTTTCTCTTTTTGCTCAGTGGCCAATCTGACAGCTCACACCCCCTATGAAATTTCTGCTTGGGCTAAGACGGAGCTGGGTGACAGCCCTCTGTCCTTTGTGCATGTGGTGACCAGTGGCACCAGGCCAGTGTCCCCAAGCCTCAAGGCCAAGGCCATCAACCAGACGGCCGTGGAATGCAGCTGGACTGGCCCCAGGAATGTGGTAAGGCATCAACCCTTCCCTCAGAGCCTCTGAGCAGCTCACAACCCCCCTGAAATCAGGATAATTTGTTTGGAGTGAACTCCAAGGCCCTGAAAATTTTGGGGATAATGAGGGAAAGAACTCTTTCTGCCTTTTAAACAGAAGCAAAGCAAAGCTTCTTGAGTGTTTGTTGCAGTGAGAAGTGGCTCAAACACAGACAGCACCATGCTCCAGCAGCCTTTGAATCAACTGCTGTTACCTGAGATGAGCTTAGGGGGTTTGGGTTGGGAGTTCAAAGGGAAGTGGGCAGATTGAGCTTGGGCAAGACAGAGGGAAAAGCAGGAAAAGGGTCCAGAGGGAAAAGGGTCTTTGCTTCATGCCCCTAAAATTGACAGCCAGTGGGAAATGGATTTGCAGAAAATTCTCAAAGTCTGACAGAAGTCTATTTCCTACTTACAATACATTATAAGTGTTTCTTAACCTATCAACTTTTACCACACCATACTGTAAATACCTTAAAACCAATAATCTAAAATTACCCCTCGTAAATCCTACTACAGTACATCTTTCATAGTTCTATTTCTCCAAAGTATCTAGTCTTATGTACAAAACCATCCTTTAAAACTTGTTTCTAGTTCCATTTCTCTCTCAACAATATCTGTTTCTAGCTCCATTTCTGTCTCTACAATATCTGTTTCTGGCTCCATTTCTCTCCCAGCCATATCCATCCTATTCCATGACATTTCTAAGTCAACATTTCTCCAAAGTATTTAGTCTTATTTATAAACTCCTCCTTTAAAACTTGTTTCTTGTTCCATTTCTCCCTCAACAATATCTGTTTCTGGCTCCATTTCTGTCCCAACCATATCCATCCTATTCCATGACATTTCTAAGTCAACATTTCTTATCTCAAGGCTTACACACAGATATGCACTGTTGTATTTGTGGGGTGCCCCGTGGCAAGAAGGAATGATGAATCTGACTCCATGTTCTTAGAAAGCTAATTTATTATTTTAAGATACTACATTATATTAAAGAATACTAAACTAAACTACACTAAAGAATACAGAAAGGATACAGACAGAAGGCTAAAAGATAATAATGAAAAACTTGACTCCTTCCAGAGTCCCGACACAGCCTGACTGTGGATTGGTCATTAAGTCAAAAACAATTCACATGAAACCAAACAACTGTTGGTAAACAATGTCCAAACACATTCCAAAGCAGCAAAGCACAGGAGAAGCAAGTCAGATAATTATTGTTTTCATTTTATTCTGAGGCTTCTCAGCTTCCCAGGAGAAAATCCTGGGCAAAGAGATTTTTCAGAAAATATGACGGTGACAACACAACACATAAACCTTCAGTCAGACTGAGAATTCTCTACAAATCCATTCCCCACAGCAGCCAGCGGATGCTGTGGGCCATGCCAATCCCTGCTGTGCTTTTCCTCCTCAGATCTATGGAATTTTCTACGCCACGTCCTTCCTGGAGCTGTACAGGAGCCCCCACAACAGCACCACCAGCGCGCACAACGCCACGGTGCTGGTGCAGCGCGACGAGCAGTACCTGTTCCTGGTGGGCTCCCCTCCTCCTCCTCCTCCTCCCTCTGCCCGCCCCTGGCTCCCCCAGGACACTGCCCTGACCTCTGTGCCTCCCTCCCAGGTGCGGGTGGTGTCTCCCTACCAAGGGCCCCCCTCTGACTCGGTGGTGGTGAAGATGATCCCGGATAACCGGCTGCCGCCGCGCCACCTGCACGCCGTGCGCACCGGGAAGACGTTCGCCGTCATCAAGTGGGAATCACCCTATGACTCACCTGACCAGGACATGGTAACCCCTCACAGAGCCTCCTCCCGGCCCTGTGCACACTAAATCCTGCCCCAAACACAGATCCTTGCTTTTCTTCTGCTGGAGAAAGCCTGAGGTCGGGTCTATGTTCTGCATAAAATCAAATTGCTGACACCTCCAACGTCTTCGTTTCCTCCCTGCTGGCCATTAGCTCAGGAGTGTAACATTTAAAAAGAGCCAGGTCTGGGATATCTGTTGCTGACCAAGTCTAAAACCAGCCCTGGGCATGTGCCAAAACACCTTTCTGGCCTTTGGCTCTGCCCAGGAGGGTAAGACTGGGCTGGGGCACTGCCCCCTGCCTCAACAAAGCCCAGTTCTGTTCTCTGCCACACTGGAATACACTCAGGGCTCGCTCCATTGAAGGCCAGTCATTTTCTCAGCAAGCTTTCCCCTCCCCTTCTGCTCCAGAGACTTTAACAGCAAAGCTTTGGAGGTATAAACCTTCCCAGCAGAGCTGGAAACTCTGACAGGGCAGGGGTTTGCATTGCGTCCTTGTGATTCACCAAGAAATACAACCTGAGCTTTTCCTCCTGCTCTCATCTGTTCCACTAACTGCATTTTCTGTATCAGTAAATGCTGATTTTCTGTATCAGTAATTTCCTGTATCAGTAAATGCTGATTTTGGGCAGAAATCCAGAGAGAGGCTTGGAATTTTGCTCCCCAGGCTTTCTGTAAAGCTCAGCCCTAGTCTGATGCAAGTTTTACCCACCCTGTTTAATGTCCTACCACTGTTAAGCTGAAATTCTGCAGGAAAATTAGATTTTTTCCATCCATTTCCTCCCCCTCCAGCTCTATGCCGTGGCAGTTAAAGATTTGGTGAGGAAAACAGATAAAATCTACAAAGTGAAAAGCCGGAACAGCACAGTGGAGTACACCATAAAGAAACTGGAGCCAGGAGGGAAATACCACGTGATTGTCCAGCTGGGAAACATGAGCAAGGAATCCAGCATGAAGATCAACACAGGTGAGGGACACAGCACCCATCCTGAGCAGCCTGGAGGATGCAGGAATGTCCCTGCAGCTCTTGGTCCTCTCCCACTTTGCCCATTGGGCAAAGCCCAATTCTGGGAGGCCTCCCAGGGGAGGTGGTTACACCCCCAAACAACAGCAGTGGAGAGGAAGCCTCTCAAATGATATCTCATGTTTTTCTCCTGATAAATGGAGATGGGAAAGGCACCAGTTTGGCTGTGTACCCATCACCAAGTACCATCACAGCCCTACCAGTGAAAAATTCCTCCTGCATCCTCTCCTCCAGCACATCCCTTTTCCAAGCAGAGTATTGTGCTGATCCCTAGAAAACCCCACTAACTTTCAGAATTCACTCAATTTATGCAATAGGAAAGTGCCACCAGTGCTGCAGCCTCACCCCCTGCCACTTTTTTTTCCCATTTTTAGTCCCCCTGTCTGCACCAGACGCCTTAAAAATCATCACTGAAAACGACCATATTCTGCTTTTCTGGAAGAGTTTGGCACTGAAGGAAAGTAATTTCAATGAAAGCCGGGTAAGTTTTGCTGTGCCTCCTGTCCTACAGAAAATCCTGGAGCAGAGTCAGTGCAAGGCTCCTTTCACAGGCTCTGAAATCCATCCTGTCCTTGGTGAGCCCTCTAGAAGGGCTCACTAAAATTCATGTCATGGCTGAGGCTCTGAAGCTGATAGATCCAATCAGTCACCTTTTAGGAACATAATTATCCTGCTAGAAAAGGACAATTGTCCCCTGTGTGAAAGGATGAGAAAAGGACACTGCCCTGCCATGCCAGGAAGTCTGAAAGTTGTTGTTATTCAGACTTGGATAGAAAATCTGTGAAATGTTATCTGTCAGAGCATGGGCAAGGAGAAAACTGCACCAAGAAAGCCCTCCTGGACTCTGTGCTTGGGTGGGCTGGGATGGGTGCTAAGGACAGAGTGGACCAGACAAACCAAACCAGAGTCATTTAGGTTGGAAAAGCCCTGCAAGATTGGGTCCAAGCTGTGCCCAGTCCCCACCTCGTCCCAAGCCCCAGGGTTCATCAAAGCCAGATCCAGGAGGAAAACCAAATTTCCAAGCCCTTTTGGAAGGAGCAAACCCACCCTCTGCAGCCGAGTGACTCGGGGCTTGTGTTTCCGCCAGGGCTACGAGATTCACATGTTTGACAGCTTGATGAACATCACAGCCTACCTGGGCAACACCACAGAGAACTTCTTCAAGGTGTCCAACCTGAAGATGGGCCACAATTACTCGTTCAGCGTGCAGGCACGGTGCCTGTACGGGGGGCAGATGTGTGGGGAGCCAGCCACGCTTCTCTACGACGAGCTGGGAACAGGTGAGTCCCTGTTTCCTCCCCATCCTCCTTAAAAAACACTCAGGGAAGCCTCATAAATTCTTTAGGGATGTGTTGCCCTGTTCTTCTAAACCTTCTGATGTTTACAATCTTGTAATGGAGTTGCTCATACATTTTTATGTAAATAATTATTGTTTTTACATTCCTCTCTGGAGGAGGAGAAATTTGATGGACTGTTGGTTTGGCCAGTGTCATTGGAGAGGTGGCAATTTCATCCTCCAATCTGTCACAGACACGTTCTATGAAAAATCCTTTTGTTAGGATCTTTTCTCCTGAGAAGCTGAGAAGCTTCAGCTTCTCCATGTTTTGCTGCTTTGGAATGTGATTTGGAGAATTGTTTACCCAGCATGTGAAATTTGTTTTTACTTGATGACCAATGACAGCCACCTGTGTCGAGGCTGTGAGCAGTCACAAGATTTTATTGTCATTCCTTTCTATTCCTTGCTGGCCTTCTGATGAAATCCCTCCTTCTATTATTTTAGTATAGTTTTAATATATCATTTTCTTTTAATATAATATATATCATAAAATAATAAATCAGCCTTCTGGAACATGGAGTCTGTGGTGGTGTTCACAGGGGTCTGAGGATGAGGGAAGAGATGAAAATGTTGACTCCATGTTTCAGAAGGCTGATTTATTATTTTATGATATATATTATATTAAAACTATACTAAAAGAATAGAAGAAAGGATTTCATCAGAAGCCTGGCTAAGAATAGAAAAAGGAAGGAATGATGACAAAGGTTTGTGGCTCTGCCAGAGAGTCCGAGCCAGCTGGACTGTGATTGGCCATTAATCAGAAGCAACCACATGAGCCCAATCCCAGATGCACCTGTTGCATTCCACAGCAGCAGATAACCATTGTTTGCATTTTGTTCCTGAGGCCTCTCAGCTTCTCAGCAGGAACAATCCTAAGGAAAGGGATTTTCCATAAAGGATGTCTGTGACACTGTGTTGTTTTATTTTGTGTCCTGTTGTGAGCAGGGATGTGCTAAAGCAGCCCTTGTGTCCCTCCCTCACCAGGTAAAGACCCCTCAGCCACCAAATCGGGCCAGGCCACGGACGTGGCTGCCATCGTGGTGCCCGTGCTGTTCCTGCTGCTGGTGACCCTGGGCATTGGCTTTGTGGTGCTCTACATGAGGCACAGGAGGCTCCAGAGCAGCTTCACTGCCTTCGCCAACAGCCACTACAGCTCGCGCCTGGGCTCGGCCATCTTCTCCTCCGGGGATGATCTGGGTACGTGGGCCCTGGTGGCATCTGGGGACAGCACTGGGGGCGTGACATCGGGGCAAGAATTCATTCTTTGTCTTGGTTTGGGCCACTCTGGCAGCACAATCTCTGTGGATTTGATATCAGAGTACAAATCTGATATCAAATTCATTCTTTGTCTTGGTTTGGGCCACTCTGGCAGCACAATCTCTGTGGATTTGATATCAGAGTACAAATCTGATATCAAATTCATTCTTTGTCTTGGTTTGGGCCACTCTGGCCTCACAGTCTCTGTGGATTTGATATCAGAGTACAAATTAAAGAATTACAGAGTCGTTAAACTTGGAAAAGATCTTCAAGATCAAGTCCAACCGGCAAAAGTTTTCCCAACCAAATGTTTTTATCAAATTAAACCTCTCCTTCTGATGCAAATCACTTAGAAATGCATCGAGGATGTGAAATCAGGGCAAGAATTAATTATTTTATCATGGTTTGGGCCACTCTGGCAGCACAGTCTCTATGGATTTGAGCTAAGACTGCAAGTCACAGAATCATACAATAGTTAAGGTTGCACAGACCTTTAAGACCATCAAGTCCAACTGCCAAAACTTTTTCCAACCAAACATTTTATCACATTAAACCCCTCCTTCCAATGCAAATCACTTAAAAACATGTTGAGGACATGAAATCAGGGCAAGGATTAATTCTTTATCATGGTTTGGGCCACTCTGGCCTCACAGTCTCTATGGGTTTGATCTAAGAGTACAAATCACAGAATTACAGAGTCGTTAAACTTGGAAAAGATCTTCAAGATCAAGTCCAGGAGGCAAAAATTTTCCCAACCAAACATTTTTATCAAATAAACCTCTCCTTCCAATGCAAATCACTTAAAAACACATTGAGGACATGAAATTAGGGCAAGAATTAATTCTTTATCATGGTTTGGGCCACTCTGGCATCACAATCTCAATGGATTTGGTCTCAGAGTACAAATCACAGAATTATGGGATTGTTAAACCTGAAAAAGACCTTCAAGACCATCAAGTCCAACCACCACATTTTCCCAACCAATATTTTTATCAAATGAAACCTCTCCTTCCAATGCAAATCACTTAAAACCAGATTTTAAAGTGCTGAGGATAAAAAGCAGATTTTTTGAAGTGCCCCCTAACAGCTCTGTTTTGGGTTTGTTTTCCAGGAGATGAGGATGATGAAGCCCCAATGATAACTGGATTTTCAGACGACGTCCCCATGGTCATCGCCTGAAGTTCATTTCTGACTGTACAAAACCAAATGGTGTAAATATTTTATTTGATAAAAATAGTTGATTGTTTATTTTAAAAATGCACTTTGAGTTGCAATACGTTATTTTTATATGGGCCAAAAAAAAAGAAAAAAATAATAATAATTTTAAGAATACACTTTGTAGTAATCAACTGTGAATTGCAGACTAGGTTGGTTGAGTAACAAATTGCTTTGATTTAACATTAATTTAGTCTTACAAGGCTATGCTTGCTGGGCATGCTTTTAAGTCTGTGAGATATTTTCCGTTGACTAAATTGGCTACTCATTTTATTTTTCTAAGACAAGAATAAATTTATTTAAAAAAAAAGAAAAATTCAGGAGATTATATATGTAGAGAGAGATAATATAGTCCCTGAAGGTTTTGCTTTTACTTTAGGACAAAAAAAAAAAATCCTTTGGACTTTGTTTTATATGAAAGTATTTTTGTTGTGTTAATTTATTGGGAAATCTGCTGAGGAACAGATTTCCAGAGTCGTCAGACATTGTACACATTCTTGTGTAGAACATGTGCCACTTTATCTTGCAAGGCAGTCGTATCTTGGCATCCCCATCATTGTCCTTGCCATGATAATAAAAACCCTCATTTTCACTGAGTTTTTCTCCCTTTTAAAGACCCAATCTCTCAGCAATCTTAAAGTACAGCAGCACGTTGTTTTTAGGGATGATTTTTAGCTTCCTGCTGCTGTGGGAAGTCAAAAATATCCCCACACCAAGAGGTGCTGCCCAAACCCCTCCTGCTGCTGCCCCTGCCCATCACACTGGGCTTAATTAATCTGGAGCTCACACCTACCACATCACTGGAACAAAAAATTGCCACTTGCACCTTAAAACTCATTTTCCAGGTATTTTTAGGATACCCCTCCTCCGTGGAGCTTCCCTCAGATGCCAGCACGGTGGTGGGATGGAAGGGGGAATCTCCAGTGTGTGCAAATCCAGATTTTCCACACTCACCCGGAGCAGTAATTACTGAAAATTTAAATTAATTTGGCCCACAGCAGGGATTTGATGCTCCCTCCTCAGAATTTCCTAAAAGCAGCTGTAGTTTTACCTGCAGCTTTAGAAATAATATAAATATACACACACACACATACATGTTATTTTCTCATCTCACATTCCCAGCAGACACAATACTGGCTGCAGAGCCAAATGCAAAGAGTCTGCTTGCCACTGTCTGGAGCTTTGATTTTGTGACAGCAAAATGTGAATTTCACCAAAAAATGTGAACCTCACCACTACCTGCCAACCCAGGGGCACGACAGGAGAGGATGTTCAGGGCTCTCCCCTGGCTGTGCTCGATATATGCAAAACTTCTCACCAGGAAATGCAGCACACTGTCTTGTCACACTGTTTTTGTGAAAAACAAAGGTATTTTTGCTGTGTAAATTAAGTTATAATTGCAGTCTTCCTACAGATGAAACGAGAGAGGCCAACTATGTTTTGATACGTGACTGATCCATTTAATTTCACAATAGAAAAATGTATATAAAAAAAAAAGTTGAAGCCTGGATGGTTTGATACTCTAGAGAAATACTGACTCTATTTTCAATTACTGGTGTTAGCATTCCCATACTGGTGACAGATTTTTTTTCCTCCCCACCAAAGCTGGGACCAAACTAGAATCAGATTTTTATAAGTAGCAGCAAGCTCGCAGAGTTGCAATATTTTTACCTTGTCAGTGGATCAGGTGCTGCTCAGGAGTTGAACTTTTGAGGAAAATCAACCCAGTACACAAAGCTCAATTTGCCTGGAGTTACAGCTGCACAGAGAGACCAGACTCTGACCCAGAGGCTAAGCCAGCCTCAAAAACATAAATCAAAAGATTTTATGCAGGAGAGGAAGCCTAAAAACAGAGATAAAGGAGTATTTAACCCATTCTTTATAAAGTAATTTTTTTTAGCACAGGTAACTGAAAATTACAATGTAGCATCCCAAAATCTGGTGCCTCTCTGGTGAGGGTGAGGAGGGGTTAAATTCTGGTATTTTACTCATCCAGGGTAAATCCTGCTGCAGTAAAATGAGCAGAATTTAGAGTCTGGCCCATCTCTGCCTAGCCAGATGCCAAGGGGGACCCTTGTAACCACTTTATATCCTGCAGAAATCCCTTGGCTGGAGATTTCCAAGCATCACCTGGGGGGACAGGTCCCTCCTGGCCACTCTGAAAGGCTCCTGGCTCGGGGACACCCGTGTAGAACAAAGAATTTTGTACCCAAAACCCAGCACTTTTGGTTAAATCTAACTCCCAAACACAGCGTGGGCAGAGCAGAGCCCTCTGTGGAGCCACCCAGGGGTTTGGGGACACTGCAAAGCCACTCAGAGCTGTCCCCAACCCTCCCCTTCACTGCAAAAATCACCACTGTGCTCTCAGCAAAGCAACTTTCACAGGGCTAGTGCATTTTATATATAGGGATAGAGGAGTCTGGGCTCCAGGTGGGGAGTAACCCATGCAGTTCTGGGGGAAATTGTATATTTTTATGAACTTTTGAAGCACGGAATCTTGTTCACGGAGACATGCAGGGGGTGGGAGGGTTCTGCTGTAAATATGGAACGTGGATGTGGATGTATATTTTGTTCTGGATTTGTTTTCAGTAGCCTTATGTGACGTGACATGACTTGCTACCCTAAATTTCGGGAGGTGGTTTGAGTTTGCTTTATAGGAACCCAGTAAAATGTTTGGATCAAAAAGGGTATGGAAAATACCCTGGTTAGGAGGAACTTCCAGCACTTAATCTGTGTTTGCACCCATTTCAGAGGCCCATGAGTACTCTCAAGTCCATTTGAACAAAAGACTAAGGTTGAACATAAAAATCTGCTGAGGTTTTGGACCGTGAGGCTTCTTTTGCTTTGGCTCAGGCTTTTTGTGAGGTTTTCTTTTTTGTGCTGGGGGTTTGGTTTTTACAAGAAAGGACAAGGAGGTATCATTTCCCAGGCTGGAGACCTATTAAAGGTCAATAAAAGGCTCTTTTCAGTCTGAATAAACCCCATCTGTGGGTTGCCAGCCTGTGACCGTGTTCAGAGGGGTCTGAGGATGAGGGAAGAGATGAGGATCTGACTCCATGTTTCAGAAGGCTTGATTTATTATTTTATGATATATATTATATTAAAACTGTACTAAAAGAATAGAAGAAAGGATTTCATCAGAAGGCTGGCTAAGAATAGAATAGAATAGAATGATAACAAAGGCTTGTGGCTCGGACAGAGAGTCCGAGGCAGCTGGGCTGTGATTGGCCATTAATCAGAAACAACCACATGAGCCAAATCCCAGATCCTCCTGTTGCATTCCACAGCAGCAGATAACCATTGTTTGCATTTTGTTCCTGAGGCCTCTCAGCTTCTCAGGAGGAGAGATCCTAAGGAAAGGAATTTTCATAAAGGATGTCTGTGACACCAGCCCTGTAAAATCTCCTGAACCCAGCGAGAGCAGAGCCCATGCAGGAAGCAGCTGGAACAGGGGTTTGGCCGAGGGCCTGAACCCCAGGAAAAATGCAGGAGGATTTCAGAGAAGGGTGGAATTTGGGGAGAAATTTCTGCCTGCAGGTATTTAATGTGCAGAAGGGCTGACTCTCCCTGCCCTAACCTGCTCCAGGTGCTCCCACCTGGACACAGCCTTAGGAGAGAGCTCAGCCAGGGAAAAGCCACTTTTCCTTGGACACAGAGCAGGTTGTGGAGATGTTTGGGAGCTCAGAGGCAGCTGGGAAGGGAAGGGAAGGGAGGAGCAGACAGGCAGAGCTGGCTGCCAGCACCCAGGTCTGTGGCCTCATGGCCAAAGGAGCTTTGTGTTTGGTGGTCACCGCGTAATTTCACTCCTCCTGTGCCCAGAGTCCCCAAAACGCTCACATCACCCACCAGGGAACCCTCCCTGAGCACAATTCCCATCCCTGGCAGGGCACAGCTCAGTGTGAGCATCTCCATGCTTGGAATCAGAGTACATTTAGTGGCAAACTCCACCTGCTCGCTGATGGAAAAGCAAAATGTCATTTTTTAGCAAAAAAAAAAACCCAAACTTTTCTGAAAGAGCTTTCGAGTCTCCTTCAAATGGGCTTGAGAAGGGAAATGGTGCAATAACTCAGCTACTCTTGGACCCCAAGAGCATCTTTGCTCCTGGAAACAGCTGCAACATTCTAATTAACCCTTACAAACCTGCACCAGTCCACAAGCAGCCAGCCTCTAATAGAGGTAGTGTCACCTTTGAATCAGGTTCTTTAAGTGAAGTTTAATGTTGTACTATTTGAATTGCTACTCTGTGTCCTTTATTTGTTTGGTTGTTTTGTTTTTTTTTTTTTTTCATTCATTGATTTCTGCTATGTATTATTGCACAATTTTGAAGGAATTTTTGTCTGTCCATATTTTTTTTCCCACTTAATGATAATAATAAAAAAAATGGATTGGGTAAACAAATCAGTTTCTGTGTTCTGAAATTATCCAGCATCTGTGTGTCTAGTGCAGGAAAAAAAGGAGATTTTTTTTTTTCTGAATATAATTTTGTTTTACAAAACCTAACAGGATTTTAGAATCACTGAATGGTTTGGGTTGGAAAGGACATTAAAAATTATTTAATTACTTTTTTTTTAAATTTAAAAAACTTTAAAAAATTAAAAATTAATTAGAAATTAAAAATAATTTAATTAAAAATTAAAAATTCAAAATTAATTAGAAATTAGAAATAATTTAATTTCTACCCCCTGCCATGGGCAGGGACACCTTCCACTATCCCAGGTTGCTCCAAGTTTCATCCAACCTGGCCTTGGACACTTCCAGGGATCCAGGGGAAGCTGCAGCTGCTCTGGGCACCCTGTGCCAGGGCACCCTCACAGGGGGGAATTTCTCCAATATATCTATATATATCCAATCTAATATTTATATCCAATCTAATATATATATCCAATCTAATATATCCAATCTCCAGGATATCCAATCCAGCCCTGCCCTGGGTCAGTCTGAAGCCGTTCCCTGTGACCCCTGTGTCACAGGGGTCTGAGGATGAGGGAAGAGACGAGGATCTGACTCCATGTTTCAGAAGGCTTGATTTATTGTTTTATGATATATATTATATTAAAACTGTACTAAAAGAATAGAAGAACTGATTTCATCAGAAGGCCAGCTAAGAATAGAAAAAGAAGGAATGATAACAAAGGTTTGTGTCTCAGACAGTCCGAGCCAGCCGGACTGTGATTGGCCATTAATTAGAAACAACCACATGAGCCCAATCCCAGCTGCACCTGTTGCATCCCACAGCAGCAGATAACCATTGTTTGCATTTTGTTCCTGAGGCCTCTCAGCTTCTCAGGAGGAAAAATCCTAAGGAAAGGAATTTTTCATAAAAGATGTCAGTGACAGTTCCCATCCCCTCAGTGCTCCCCATCAAACAGCAGGGACAGGACAAGGGCAGGGAGAATCAGGAAAATTGAGCTTGGTGCAGATCCTGGGAAGGGCCACCCTCATTCCTAGGGCAGTCACGTCTGCCTGTCCCTTCCCTCAAGGTCACCAACACCCCCAGACACCAAACGCCATCTCCAACCTGTCCAAGCTTCACCTCCACGTTGGCACAGCACCACCTCAGGCGTTATTTTCTGTGTTTCAAACCCATTTCCA